TGGTGTCCATTTTTTTTGTTTCTTCATATTTGCTGAAACTCGACCGGGTTGAGAATGAAAAGTTTGCTTCGTTTTTGAAATGTTGGCTGTGTATATTTTTATGCTAAATTTTCTGAAACGCGTTCATCGCTATTTTTGAGAATTAAGATAGAATTAAATCAAGTTTCGAAGGAATAAACTATTTCAATAATATCTGACCTAAAAATGTCCTTGGATGGTTAAATGCAATCGAAGCTTTCCGAAAAACAAACACTCCTATTCCTTTGAATTTGAAGGTATGTCGACGCACCCTTGATGGATCGAATCATTGTGAAGTGCATATTTTCTTTGACAACGTTATTCTTAAAACGCCATGCGTATTGTCCTCGGATTGCTGTTCCCACTATTCTAAAGTTGTTTTTAACAGTTTTATCATTAATCATTTAATATAAAAAGTTTGTTTGATTTCGTTTGTAAAGTTTATTATAGTGTGTTCAGACTGAGTGCCCTGGCACGGTGCTCAGGCATAGATATCAATGTGAACACAACATTTTCATTGTGTCTGTGTGCTCACGTCTGGCCACCACGAAAAGAGGTATTACCAGTAAACTTTAATATAAACTGGAACTGTAGTTTTGTCACGTGATGGTTGAAGCCAAACATACAGCTAAATTTCAATCAACTCCCTCCTGAAATAATGCGTGTTTTGATCAGTAGTTTTGATTGTTTTCATCGCGACTAACGTTTGTTTTGGCTTCTTGGAAGTTTGAAAACGTGAAAAAGTTATTTCAATATTTAGAGCATTTTATAAAACTAATAGTGTATGATTCACGTCCTTTTAGTTTTAAAAATTTTTAAGTGATATATCTCATTTGATGACCTACAATTATCCTTGTTTATTTATTGTTTCCTTTTAACAACACGTACCAAGCTTACCGGCTCATTTTATGAACGTCTTTTTTTTTCTTTTCTCACTTTTTATGCTTTACACATACAACACAAGAGCTTAGTGTTATGTATTTAAAATGTTATCTTAATTTTAAGCATTAACATCATTAAAAAAAGCTTTTTAAAAACCCTTTTCGCTATGATCTTGAACTTTTCTTACTAAATGACACTGAGCTGTATACATATTTGTATTGTGGCAAGAAAAATGCTTCTACACATAAAAACGAATTTCTCTCTTTTGTAAATGGCTTGATTTTTGCCATACCTTGTACGTTTGTGTACTTAACATGGAACTACAAAATTTTGGTGGTATGAACGATTGGCTATGCCTGGAAAAAGCAACAAAAAATCGCGCGGAGACTTTCTGATTTTGGACTTTGCTTTCAAAATTTTTAGCAATACTATGACTTTTGACCAATATTTTTCAAATTTAATTGTATTTACAAAAAGTATCGCAAAATTTACTTTTAAAGTTTTATAAATATAAAAATTCCATCTTCTTTACAAAAGGACTGGAACGACCTGCATGCCATCATCTGTCTTTAATTTCCCCTCCTGACTTACCGTTCCAGTTGTTATTACAGTTCAATGGGTGGTACGCAAGTACGATGCTCGGGCACGGGCAACAATATGAACGATGACACCTGGTTTTAAAACTTGTTTGCATTGAAAAACATGAAATTATAAATAGATGAAGCTAGTTGGTACTACGTAGTGTGAACGGCGTGCTACGTACTCCAGCAATTAGTCTGAACGCGCTATAATTGGTCAATCTAATGTCAACTAAAAAATGAAAGTGGAACATAGCTAAGTATTTGCCAAAGCGGATTTTTACACTCTTGTACTTTACAAAGAAAGAAATATTGAAAAAAGGGGGGGGGGAGGCAATTGCCCCCCTTGCCCCCTTCTCCGCGGTCCCTGTGCATGGAGGTCTACTGCTTTTTATTTTGAATATTATCAAAAATTTATTTATTGCAATGTCAATACAATGATTGTAGGTTTTTGGAAGCTTCGTCGAAGGCAGTTGATTCAAAGAAGCTGACGTTATTGCTCTTTTTATAGAATGATATTTTATGGACATGTAGGCCTGTTTGTTTCATTAATACGTTTATAAAATTTTTTCGTGTTACAGTTTGTGTCTGAAGGTATGGAAGAAAGTGGAAGTGTCGGTATGGCTGATCTTATCAAGGAGGAAAAAGATCTCTTTTTCAAGGTCAGTTTCGGGATGAAATGGAAAATAAGATCATCAAGTTATCGTTTCATACCCTAACTTTTCAGGATGTCAATTTCATTGCAATATCCGACAACTATTGGCTTGGTACTTCAAAACCTTGTTTGACCTATGGTCTTCGGAAGTTAGACATCTTCAACCTTTGTCGATAGGTTTGTCAGCCATGATGATGGCTAAAATTTAATCACCGTTTAAGTCGTCTTGTAGAAAGAAATACAAAAAGGAAACGCTGTTTTCTATCAAAGTTGTGGGCCCTTAAGTGATTTTATTCTCCCAGGGAGTTAAGCCTCTTGATGACGTTTGCGTTCCTTACGTTTCTTTGCTTTGGAAAATTTCCGTTTTTATTTGTAATTTCCGTGTTTAAGGAATAGGAATAAATTTAAAGTTCAAACTGGGAAAACCCACTACTTCATGAGTTCTGAACATCGTGCATTTGAAATGTAGACCGCACGGCTTTCAACAGCATAAATTGTCTAAATTAAAAGCTTTCAACTAGTCAGAAATGGTGAAAAGAATAACTAATTCTTGTCCAGATACAACAAGCCTCTCGACATCCCGGGCCTTTGGACTTCAGCCCATTTAGCCTACTGAGTAATCTGCTACTAATTGAAAATTCATCTGTCCAGCGCTTATTTGTGTTTCTTCCCTAGAGGTATGATTTATTTCCATGTCAAAGTGAATTGTGCTGCGAAAGATTTACATTCTGGATGCCATGGTTGACCTGTATAAGTTGCTTTGAAGATATTGTTGATAAATTACGAAGTTTTTTTATGCAGTCACAATGTTTTCACGTACATTAGACAATTGTGGAACGATGAACGTATGTTTTATACTGTGCTATGAGTAGCTGTCCTACAACAGTGCAAAATAGAATTTTATTAAAATCACGCGAGGCAATGCGCACGACCTTAAATGACATCTCCAAATTTTGTCTTAGGCCTTTATGGCTTGTAACTACGACTTGCTTTGCGTTTGCACGTTGCAGTACAATTCCTTCAAAAAATTGCATTCTGTTTCATGGTTATGGCCTTTAAGTTGTTTATCTTATTGTCATCACATCGATCAACTTCCTTTCTCTTCAGTTTGAATTATCTTGAAGTGATTTGAAGAAAGTCAATTCAATCAGTTTGTTTGAAAAAGATATTTCTTATAATACCATGAATTGTGGCAGATACGTCAGACATAATTGAAAAGGTACAAGAGACTTCTTCGTATTGTTCATCTTAAGATGATACTGTGACCAAAGATAATCTATAGAGCCATCATATTTGTATATTTTACAACTACTTAAACTCCTTGAAAAGCCCTTGAATCAAACACTCAATATTAAATGCTATTCAAAAGCTCTTGAAAAGAGAAAACGTGCAAAACTCCTTGAAAACTCATTAAATTATGACTCCATTGTATTTTTTTCTTTCCAAACAAAAGTCTTTTTAGAAGGCCGTTTGTTGTAATTACTTTAAATCGTAAGTAACTGTTGTTGGGTGCCTTTGGAGTACCATTGCAAACATTTGAATTTTAGTTCTTGAAAATCTATATTTTCTTTATTGAAAAGTCTTTGAAAGTTGGACAAAAAGCAGCATAAACCCTGTCAACTTATTCCATAATCATATCGAAGTAACTAAAGTAGCTATCTAAAGACCTCGTTGCTTTTTAATTTATTCAGTATAGCTATTTTTTGTAAATAATATTGTGTAACTAATTTATCAGATTCACTTCGTTGACTTTGGAATAAAATCGACATACCAAACTGTTATCTTGTTTTAAAAAAAGCTCTCATATGTTGAGCTTACAAGATATTTCGGCGATTGCATCTTCTTTTAGTGTCTTCCTCTTTCACCACAAAAAATATGCTTGGTTTAAAACTTTGTTTAACGTAGGTACGAGGCTATGTCAGACGTGGTTGCATTGTTGTCAACGTTGATTGATGAAAAGGGAAACATCTTGATACCTGGTGTTAATGATTATGTTCGTGATGTGACACCCCAAGAGGATGCACTGCACGAGAATTTAGATTTCGACATGGTCAGTATGTTTTTAAGCATAATAAAGACCCTCAAAATGAAGACCCCGAATAATTACTCGTTGGGGGCTTAAGCTGTCGTCTTTGCTTTCGTGCCTCTTAAACGTCAACGTGCCTTCAGCGTGCGTATATTGCTAATTTCTTTCTTTAAGATGGCGTTTAAAGAAGAATTCGGTGCTCATGGGTTGACTACTACTGACGAAAAAAGTACACCGATGAGACGCTGGAGATATCCATCACTATCCATGAATGGATATTCATGGTAAATATCAAGTTTCAGTTACGCTAGCTCACCAATGCATAATGCTGAAAACTTCACAAAGTACGGAGATTTAAAGAAATGAAGTATAGGTCAGTTGAGTAGACTTTCAAGGCCGGAAATATTGTTTTGCTAATCGATATTGAAATATTGTTTTGTCGTTTCAAATCTCAACGATTTTGAAGTTTGGATTAGCCAATAAATCGTCATGGCCCAGACTTTTTGGTTTATTGAATGGTATCACGCAAGCATGTGTTGTTTTTCTTGTAGGATTTGAAGGTGCGTTTTCTGGTCCTGGTGATAAAACAGTCATTCCGTGCGAGGTAAAAAAGATTTGAGGTCGCAGAATGTTAAAGATTTTTCAATTAAATTAATGAAGCTACAAAGAAACATATTGATAAAATTGTTATGAAGCATGTTGTAAGATTGCATTTCTCTTGTGCTATGCGTTAACGTGGGATCTTAACGTTCTTTCGTCTGGCAAAAGACAGACCTTTTTTTGCACTAAGAAATGCAACTCGTTGCTGCTATTTCTACTGCAGATTCCAAGAACCCAGTGTTTGAAGCTGGAAAGTTGGCTACATTAGATGGTATGCTCTAAATCAAGAAAATGAGACAAAGCATGACTGCGTACGCCAGTTATTCAAAACTTTGAGTAACCTTATATACATAATCTAATGCGAATACCAAGTCCAATTATTTCCACTTGGTTTTTTTCATTTATTGGATTTTCATTTCAATGATATGGTTTCAAACTAAACATCAAAGCATTGACAATTTAAGCAACTTTAGAATACCAAACGATATGAAACGATTGCATTGTTTTCTCCAGATTATGCAGATTAAATTAACTTCAGACATCAGTCTAGTATTAAATCACTTTTGTCAACCAGACACTTTTTTCATTTCAGTACATAGCGTGGAGCCTGACTACATTCGTGAAGGAGGCAGCCTACCACTCGTTTTGACGCTTACTGAGACCACTGGCAAGGATTGTGTGTTTTTACCAATGGGAAGGTCTGATGATGGTGCGCATTCCCAGAATGAAAAGTTGAACATTACAAATTTTCAAGCTGGTGTAAGTTTGATGTGTGAAGGTTAATGTTGAATGTTAGATGATGATGTTGTTTATGTCACAAACAAGCGTATCCACCTACATTACGTTGTTTTGCTTGTTGTTTTTATGGGAACCTGCAACATCGTAACCAATTCACAAATTGCATTGTTCTTATTGGCTTGAACATGTGTCTGACGACAGTCTTTAGTTCAAAATAGATAAAAGACGAAAAACTTCATGTCATTGAGAATATTTTTGATTTTCAATATACTGGCGTGAGATTCAAAATTCTCAAGCTGAATCCAAATCCACTTAGTCCACCGCACGATTTAGGATCGAACATTTGGAATTCTTTCAAAACACAAAGCAACACAAATTTTGCAATTTGCGATGTTTCTTACAAGAAGTGATTGTATTTCATTTGAGAAAACGTTAAATATTTGTATGAACACATCTCAAATTTTGCATGAAATTGAAAAAATTCTGCTTACTCTAAATGTGCTATCTTTCTTTAAGATGAAGCTGTTTGCTGCCTATATCAATCATCTTGGTGCGTTGACAAGTGGTGCAGAAAGCCAGAAAGCATGATCAAATGAAACTGACATTTGCTGAATTGTTAATACAAGCAAGTGATTAATCGCTATTTTTTCTACCATTGTCTTCATTAAATACTTTGTCAAAGCACAGATTTCTAGATAGCGCGAGACTGCACAGGTAGACGGGAAAATGGTTGAGGTAAAATTTAAGAAATTGCGGGATTAAGGTTTTGGGGCAGAAAAAATATGTTCATTTATAATAAAAATGCATATCAATGACTAGTGTGCAGTTGCTTTCGAGTAAATATTTTCTATAGACTTCAGCTACTTTTTTCTTGTGTTTACGCAAATTTGGGCTATTTGGTGCGAATCACAATCGGGCTACTACAGTTGACTTACACTTTACAGGTAACTTGGGAGAGTCTGCGAGAGTCAGCAGGCTACCAATCTGGCAACACTGTCCTCTTTTATGTTACTCTAGTTGTAGTTTCTAGGCCTTATATTTCTGCAAACGTGGCACGGTGAACTTTAAGGAATTTTATCATTTGGTCTATCGGAGGAAATGTTTTCTCAATGTTATTGTGACTTGTGAGAATCATGTGATGAAAAGGATTCGACTTACATACGTTTCCCGAAGAGAGTCAAAGGTATATAATACCATTGTAGGGGTATAATTGAACCAAGAAAAACAATTCAAAGGTATTTACAGATTCGATTGTTTTCTTCTGGGTAATAGCTTTGATAGCTTGATGTTCTTGTCGACAGAACAATGTTGGACGTATATTAAAATTCCGTTTATGAATAGGAACAGACTGTAATGATTGGTGTTAACTGTGATAATGGTTGATGGCAAAATTATGATAAAATGCAGTGTATATCTGATTTATAGTTCCTGTAGAAGTAACCTGGTTGTTGTACGAAAGGTAGATAAGGGTTGAAAAGTTTTAAATGTAGTCTTAAAACACAAAATAAGGCCCTTGGCATGCCTTATATAGTCTATATAGTCTTATTGTGTTGGAAAAGATACACATGTTTTTGCCATGGAAATATCCATCGGCATTTGTGGGAACTGTAATGGTATATCAATTGAGGAGACAGGGATTGAAAGATGGGCGAGGTCAATATTCTGTGAAATATTGAAATATGATGTAAAAGCTTTCTGGCATTAATTTGGGTGAGGAAATAAACACACATGTAAAGGGAAGAAAAGATTGAAATGATTGTTTCATGATTGTAAAAGAGTGATGATGATAATTGTGTGAAACAGTCATGAGGGTATTTAGGGAATGGAAGACTGAAATGGTGGGTTCATGCATGAAGAGAAGGTGAGATGTAGAATATTGGTAGCATAAAGAAAGACAAGCAGCTGGTGAATGTATAACTAAATCAGGCATACAATTTTCAGATTTAAAGCAATAGGTAAAAGGGAGGGACCAAAAGTAAGTTGAAAAAAAGGAATAATTTCAAAGAAATATTGTGTAGGTAGTATGATCTTGAGAATGTCAATGACCAAGTAGAGATGAGAAGTATCCCTTACTGATGGATGCAAAGTCATTACCCTTTGAAACATTGAAAAATCCATGATTACTGTGACATTAAAATCCCTTCACCAGATGACAGTTTGACTAAGTTTAATATGAAGCAAATTCTGAATAGTTTATCTTTAACTATATTTGAGATAAAAGATTTGAGATAAAAGATTCAAGACGATAACACAGTGATATTTTCAGATTTATTACATATTCATCATGAGACTGAGGTGAGAGTCTGGCTAATTTAGTGGTTCGATATTACATGTTTGGTGACATCATCAGGAAGTTATTATAATACAGGTTTGTTTACATATATGGTGGAGTAGTAAGCAGATACTTGTAAAGAGGTGTTAGTATTGGGATGATGATTAATTGTTTGGGCAAGTGGTGTGAGTTTTAAAAGGGGCAAAATCCTTTGCTGGCTTAAAGGCCATTGTTCAGTTGTGGTTTGTAAGATTAATCTTCTATCAGTAAAAGTCGGTTTTGTGTTGGTGTAAATTGTTGATACCGACAAAAATGTCTGGGTGTAAATGTATTGAGAGTCAACTATTGATGCTAATGAAACCTTTGTGAAATATGTTAACACTGCATGATTATATCAGATGTTCTTACTACAAAAACATTAAAATCAGCCAATTTTAAATCCACTTAAATGATGTAATGAATGCTGTGAGAATGAAATGCAGGGAAAGAGAATGGCAAGGAGGTCTGGAAAGCAGGCTGTGACAGTGAACTGTATTTTAAACTGGAATACTAACTTTGCCGCATTGAACTAAAATACATCTGGAACGACAAGTCAGGGGGGTAAAATGAAGCCAGATTTTTTCATTTTTGCAGGTCGCCCAGGTTTGTTTGTGCAAAAGGAAGGGCCCCTTATTTGTTGCCGTCATGTTGGAGATCAGATTCAAAAGAATATATTATCAATGCTCTTGTAAGCCCCAGCTTTCATGGGCTAATGTTATTGTTTTCTAAGGCCCCCCATGGTTGGCCTCTGTCAAAGAACCATACTTATCGCATGATTACTTCAGCTTATTCTTGGAACTATATTTACATTTCCAAGTACTCTTGATTGGTAACCAACTTGTTTTGAAAATATATTCTTTAGAAATTCAAAACCAATAGTTTTGTTTTAAAGGTATTTGAATTTAAAATGCACCCCGTATATATTATTTTGACTGTGGCATGAATCAGCCAGTACATAAATGATTCGCAGAAGTACAGTTGGCAACGCTGGAACTCTTCTTTCTCTTCTTTTCAAATTTCAGTTGTTATCAGAAGATTGGAAATTTTCGCGGTTGCGATAATTGAAAGAATTGCATTTCAGAATGGCTGGTGTATCGCTTGACGCTGTTAACCAGTAAGAATTTTTTATTGTTCGTGTTATTTAAAGAAACACAATGTTTGCAAATGAATGTCAAATATATGAACATTTGCCTACAAACCAATTATAGCGGTACTTCAATCAAATATGGAAAATGAGTCAAATGGTAAATTGGTTCACTACAGACCACTTAATTTCGTGGCTAGTTAGATTTCTCGAATCAAGTACATCCAGTTCGATGTTAACTTTAGTTTCAATTTCAGTAGACGCAATTGCATTCAATAGCTAGAAAAGTCGAACATCCCGAGCTTGTGAGTAACATAATGTTGCAGGCAAGGGAGAGATACGTTTGGGAAAGTATCTGTTGCACCGACTTCAGACTTTCTTTTCTAGTATCATTTTGGGCGTTTCAATAATGTTAAGCCATATTTGACGATGTGGCTGGGTGTAACCTGACAGCTCAATACGTCATCACTCCAACCATACGCGACATTCGGTAGAATTTAGACGGCTGGCTTGCTTGAGATTCTTTTGATTTTATCGTTTATTTATCAATTTATTTTCATCGCTAAACCGACGGTAACCAGGCTTTGAAAGAAATGCCATATTTGTTTAATCACGAGTCTTTCAATCAGGATTAAATATCGTTTGTTATTCGAGCCAATTCTCGGGCGTAGTTTTTAAATACCCAACCACATACTTATTTACCTGCATCATGTATACCTGACCAAACCCTAACCTGATTCTAAGTTATAACTTCGTTTGATTATCTTTGGGGGTAGCTTTATGGCGGGGTATTCTAAAAGTGTGCCTATTCTTGAGAGAAAAATGTTTTCGGGAATCACTGAGTATTTTAATAAAATACACAACAACGGTAACTCCAAATTACTATTGAGAATTTAAGAGAACCATCTGTCTTCTGTTGACTAGATCAAATAACATAGAATCCATATTTGTACTGTACATGCATGCAATATAATCATTCCTGATGATGACTAAATAAAGTCGATACGTTGAATGGAAATGCTTACTTTAGCTTTTTAACGGGACAACATTTTTCCAAACCAAACTAACATTTTTCCATAAAAGTGTTCACTTGTGTCTACTTCAGATTTTCCATTTTAATTTTAGCCATTTATGACTGCTCAACTTCTGTACAGCAGTATATATAAGCTAAACTTTTTTTATCATTTTTATAGATACATTGACGAGCACATGGTAATTAATTTGATATACTAATATAAATATAAGCTTGAAGATTTTTAATCCAGTAGTATATATTTATTGTTAATAATAAGAGTTTCTCTGGATTTTTATAAAAGATTTATTGACCTTATATCCTATTCACAATACAACCAAACCTATAACAACGCATTCCACGTCATCCAATCATCTTAATCCATTCTATTATCCAATTAGACGCTCTAAACGTCTAGAAACTAAAAACAATTGTAAATAGCTAAACTACCTTTATTCTGAAGAAGGTTCGAAGCACCGAGTCGAAAGCTCAATAAATCATTTATAAAAACCCGGAGAAACTCTTATTATTATTAGCAATAATTAACTATAAATATCTATATCTCATTAGTGATATATGTATTTATCGCATGTGTGTGCACTCTACTATAAATCACGTTTAATCATTATCTTTTTTGTATAGAGCAATTTCAAAGAAGGTCTTCGAAATGCAGTTGCTATTAAAAGCGTATCGTCTAATAGAGACCATCGAGGAGACGTCATCCGAATGATGGAAACGGCTGCATCGGTATTGTAATACAATAATTATCTTTTTTGTCACTGAAATTTTTCTTTTTTGCACGAGGACCGGGGCTGTATGTATTAGAAGCACATTAATCACTATGCAATTTTTTTCATGCTTCATCTAGAGAATGGAAAACAGTTTAGGAATGTCAGTTGAACTAAGAGATCTTGGCCTTGACCCAAATTATCCCGATGGTGATGTTCAACTTCCACCGGTGATTCTTGCTTCACTTGGAAATGACCCGAACAAGAAAACCGTATGTTGTTTATGGAAATTGTCGATTTGCTGCTCAATTTCAGCGTTGGAAATTGGACGTAATGCATTCTGATTGGCTTTTTAACATTCTTATTAGCTCTTAGTATTCTTATTGGCTCTTTTAATGTTCTTTTTGCGTACAATTTGCGCTTAATTAGAACCATTTAATTTTTAGCTGTGCATTTATGGTCATCTTGACGTTCAACCGGCAGAAATGGTATGGTTTAATATTTGCTTTACCTCTCGTTTCAAAGAACAAACTACGTCATTGTGATTTGATCAAACCGTGTTTTATTTTTAATTATCGTATCAAAACCGTAATGAAATATGTATATGGTTAAAAATAGTATCCAAATCGTATTTAAATATCTAAATAGTTTAATAATGTATCGAAATCTTTATGAAATATTTCAACAGTCAAAATTAGTATCCAAATTGTCTTTAAATATCTAATTAGTGTAATATAGTACTTAAATTGTCTTGAAATTTCTTAGTAGTTTTTTTTTATCGTATATAAAAGTCATGTTTTCTTTCTCATATAGTCAGATGGCTGGAATCATCCTCCTTTTGAATTGACAATTGTTGATGACGAAATGTTTGGTCGCGGATCGACTGACGACAAGGTAGGCTATAGATTGAAAAATTGTGATGCTTTTTTTTTCCATTTCCTTAAATGATAATTTTCTATGAATTTAAAGTCGCACACATTAAAACGTATGCTGGCATGTAAATCATATTTAAGTGCTCCAGTGGGCGTCACGTTAAGAAAGCGTTAAATTTTCAACTTTCTACTGTGGGAACACCTTTTTAGTTTCCGACTGTAATCGAGGCTATTAATATGTACGTTGCTCTCCGTCTTGCTATGCTTAAAGTCGTAAAAATGACGACAAAATTTTCGTTAAAACTTTCAAGACGATACTAATATGTGTCGACCATGGGTTAGCCAGAGGCACGTCCTTTTAAAGACCGGATTGATGAATTCAGATTGATTTTCTGGATATACCGTGGAGAGCGCTATCTTACGTGAACGCTTTTGCTAATGACATGACAACTGAATGAATTGATTCTTGGATTGAAACCAACCTCAGCGGAATAAACAAACAATGTGACCACCTCACGACGGCTGCTGACCACAATAGCATTGTTCCAAATCAAATAGTCTTTGCCATTTCACCATCAACATGTCGGCCATGACGCAAAATGCAAATCACTTATTAGCAAAAGCCTTCTTGCTGTTAGAAAATAGATGACATTTTTTCTGGAACAATGGTCTTGCTTTTGAAATCGTGGCCAGAGATTTGCCTGGCGGAAAGCGAATTTTCAATGTGAACATAGTAGCCCAACATAAGACTTTTAAAAAAAGCCTTTTATTGTTTTGATGGTTTTGTTTTTGTTTGCTTAATGCGGATAGGGACCTGTCCTTGGATGGTTGAATTCAATCGAAGCTTTCCAGCAAACAAACACCAGTATTCCTTTAAATTTGAAGGTATGTGGCCACTTTCTTGACGGAAGATTATGGGAAATGTCCATTAAATAAACATATAAGTGGAAGGCCATCTTTAGAAGAACATGCCTGTACTTTTATGAAACCAAATTTCGCCTTCAGACACATGTGTGTCTTTCTTTGGACCGTAGGTGAAAAGATTGAGACTAATTTAATCGCCCACTTCAAATTTTGGCTGGAAATAGGCTTGCAGTTTTATTAAAAAAGTGGCTGAGTTTTTATACGTGTTACTCTTGAATTGCTTTGCCTGTTAAGGCAATGAAAATTAATGTAAATGGCTGAAAGTGCAATATTAATAATTTGTGTCTTTGAAAGTCCCTTTTTTCACGATATATCAGCTGTTTTATTTGTTTGCCAGTCATTAAAATGATTCATGCAGTAAAATTACTTTCGTGTTTCAGTTTGTGCTTGAAGGTATGGAGGAAAGTGGAAGTGTTGGTTTGGCAGATCTTATCAAGGAGGAAAAAGATCTATTTTTCAAGGTTTGTGCCAGGATGAAATGTCAAACATCATTTCTTACGTCATTTCCTTGTAATAAGTATTTAAGATCACGCATGCTTGTAAATAATCACTTAGCTTCATAATGACTTTGAAATAAAGTCGAAATATTGCTTAAAATCTTGTCTCTTGCTTTTATAACTCGAATCTTGAGTTTACAACATGATGTTGTTTGGAGTGGGTTTTTTCTTTTAAGTAAATGTTTCATAACTTAATTTTCAGGATGTTGATTTCATTGCTATATCCGACAACTATTGGCTTGGTACTTCAAAACCTTGTTTGACTTATGGTCTTCGGTAAGTTAGACATCTCCTACCTTTGTCGATTGTTAGATGTTTGTAGATGTAGATCGTCCAGGCTAGTATAGTCCTGAGAAGGACTGACTACCACTAAGGTTGTCAAAACATCAGTCAATATAGTCCTTCTCAGACGATCTACATCTACAAACATCTATGTCCATTGTTTTGTTAAACAGATGGAGGCTTGCAGTTAATCGCGATTTGGTTGTCTTGTGCTCTGTTTCAATCGCAATCTTCATCGTTTTCGTATACAAATGACGATATATAGCGTCATGTAAGAAAAAAAAACAGTTTTCTATTGCAGTCCTGAACCAACAATCCTATATTTACCACACGCCAATTGCCATTACGTGTACAATTTGCAATTGTTACTTCATTTGCTATTTTTATATATTTATTATTTTCGTCATATGTCAATTGTACGATGATGTTCACTACTGCACGTTAATATTTGAAAATCCATCCGTCCAGGGGTTATTTGTGTGTGTTCTCTAGAGGTATCATCTATTTCCATGTCAAAGTGAATTGTGCCGACAAAGATTTACATTCTGGAAGCCATGGTGGACCTGTGTAAGTTGCTTTGAAGATATTGTTAATAAATACGTTCTTGTTGTAATGTATGGTTACAAATGTTCATTGAAGTGTGAACCCATGTGGAACGATGCATACGTTTGTGTAATATAGGTATGAAGCAATGTCGGATGTGGTTGCATTGCTGTCCACGTTAACTGACGAAAAGGGAAAAATATTGATACCAGGTGTTAATGATTCCGTTCGTGAATTGACTCCTGAAGAGGAAGCTCTCTATGACGATTTGGATTTTGACATGGTGCGTATTTAGTTATGTCAGCAATTGCATTATAAAACAAATCACTTTTATTTCAAAGCCATCGTCAGACAAAATGATGTATTTACAAGCTGGAAGTGAATTGTATATTTATACAGAGTAGGTGTTGAGTTAGCAACATCACGAGGACATATTTTATGCCATGTGTGTTATGCCAAATATCTAAGTGCTTGTATGAATCTAGTCTGTGACATTTAGTGGGCTGATGCACCCAAAAAGCACATTTTTCATCCCATTCGACCCTTAAATGAAAAACGTGAAAGATTATGGCTTAAATTCTCATTTTTCCTTTTATGCTAATTTAACGTCGATTTTCCACTCATGCGCATTGCACATTTGTTTGTGTAGAATGTCTACCGTGAGCAACTCGGTGCACACGAGCTGACAACTTCTAACGAGAAAAATACACTCATGAGACGTTGGAGATATCCATCTTTATCCATTCATGGTAAATATAAACATTCAATCATGCTACTCAATAATTGCATAACGCCGAGAACTTCGGGAAGTGTACAGTATAGGTTACATGAAGTAAAGGTTATTTGCAATGCAGCGTTTCAAATCATGCTGTGTTGTTTGTTTTTTCGGCTATTAACATCATTGTGACATTTCGATTTAAACGATTTGATGTGTTCAATGATTTTTTAAAAATATTTTAGGAGTTTAAATACTTTCTTAGCAACAGCAGTATCAAATAATACAAGGAAAACTTCCATAATGTGATATATAAGTCTACGCTGGATTCTTATTAATTTGAATTTTGTTTTCATAAGTACTTTTTGCACTTTTCTATTACGTTTCCTGAACTTTTTTTTCAAATGCATCATATGGAGCTTGTTGCGTATGGTTTTAATAACTATCAATATGGCTGTATTCAGTAAGTTGAACTTAAGGATTAAATCGTTTTTCGATTCATTTTCTCATTGATTTTGAAGCTTAAGTTCGTCAGTAGATCATAATAAACTTAGTCTTTCTTTGCCGCAATTGACGCTCACACCCAAGTCTTTGGTGTTCATTAATCTTTTTGTTTTGTTGTAGGATTTGAAGGTGCGTTTTCTGGCCCTGGTGACAAAACCGTCATTCCATATGAGGTAATGTTGTTTTTGTTGTTGTTGCTGTTGTTGTTGTTGTTGTTGTTGTTCTTTTTGTTGTTCTTTGTTTTACATGTTTATTCATAAATTGTCTTCATTTCAAATTGTTTTATCTAAAGGTGATAGGAAAGTTCTCAATTCGCCTTGTACCTGATCAAGATCCTGAAGTGATTGGACAGTTAGTTATCGATCATCTTAACTATGTTCACAGACAAAGAGGAAGTCCAAATATTATGACGTAAGTACAGAAATGTGTTGTCAAGCAATCTCAAGCAATCTTCCATTGTAGTGTGATGTCACAAGTTCCATACGGAATCCGTACTGGATGAATATTTTAACTTACATAGCTTTCGCTTTTCAGTGTACATCGGCTTGTTATTTTATTCGTTTAGTCCGACTTACTCCAACGGGGCTTCACGTGCTTGGCTCGGAGATTTCGAGAACCCAGTGTTTGAAGCTGGAAAGTTGGCCACCTTAGATGGTATGCTCTAAATCAAGAAAATGAGACAAAGCATGACTGCGTACGCCAGTTAATCTAAACTTTGAGTAACCTTATATACATAATATAATGCGAATACCAAGTCCAATTATTTCCTCTTGGTTTTTTTCATTTATTGGATTTTCATTTCAATGATATGGTTTCAGATTAAACATCAAAGCTATGACAATTTAAGCAACTTTAGAATACCAAACGATATGAAACGATTGCATTGTTTTCTCCAGATTATGCAGATTAAATTAACTTCAGACATCAGTCTATTATTAAATCACTTTTGTCAACCAAACACTTTTTTCATTTCAGTACATAGCGTGGAGCCTGACTGCATTCGTGAAGGAGGCAGTCTACCACTCGTTTTGACGCTTACTGAGACCACTGGCAAGGATTGTGTGTTTTTACCAATGGGAAGGTCTGATGATTGTGCGCATTCCCAGAACGAAAAGTTGAACATTACAAATTTGCAAGCTGGTGTAAGTTTGATGTGTGAAGGTTAATGTTGAATGTTGTTTATGTCACAAACAAGCGTATCCACCTACATTACGTTGTTTTGCTTGTGGTTTTTATGGGAACCTGCAACATCGTAACCAATTCACAAATTGCATTGTTCTTATTGGCTTGAACATGTGTCTGACGACAGTCTTTAGTTCAAAATAGATAAAAGACGAAAAACTTCATGTCATTGAGAATATTTTTGATTTTCAATATACTGACGTGAGATTCAAATTCTCAAGCTGAATCCAAATCCACTTAGTTCACTGCACGATTTAGAATCGAACATTTGGAATTTTTTCAAAACACGAAGCAACACAAATTTTGTAATTTGCGACGTTTCTTACACGAAGTGATTGTATTTCATTTGAGAAAACGTTAAATATTTGTATGAACACATCTCAAATGTTGCATAAAATTGAAAAAATTCTGCTTACTATAAATGTGCTATCTTTCTTTAAGATGAAGCTGTTTGCTGCCTATATCAATCATCTTGGTGCGTTGACTAGTGGTGCAGGAAAGCCAGAAAGCATGATCAAATGAAACTGACATTTGCTGAATTGTTAATACAAGCAAGTGATTAATTGCTATTTTTTCAACCATTGTCTTCATTAAATTCTTTGTCAAAGCACAGATTTCTAGATAGTGCGAGGCTGCCAGGTAGACGGGCAAATTGTTGAGGTAAAATTTAAGAAATTGCGGGATTAAGGTTTTGGGGCAAAAAAAATATATTCATTTATAATAAAAATGCATATCAATGACTAGTGTGCAGTTGCTTTCGAGTAAATATTTTCAATAGACTTCAGCTACTTTTTGCTTGTGTTTACGCAAATTTGGGCTATTTGGTGCGAAGCACAATCGGGCTACTACAGTTGACTTACACTTTACAGGTAACTTGGGAGAGTCTGCGAGAGTCAGCAGGCTACCAATCTGGCAACACTGTCCTCTTTTATGTTACTCTAGTTGTAGTTTCTAGGCCTTATATTTCTGCAAACGTGGCACGGTGAACTTTAAGGAATTTTATCATTTGGTCTATCGGAGGAAATGTTTTCTCAATGTTATTGTGACTTGTGAGAATCATGTGATGAAAAGGATTCGACTTACATACGTTTCCCGAAGAGAGTCAAAGGTATATAATACCATTGTAGGGGTATAATTGAACCAAGAAAACAATTCAAAGGTATTTACAGATTCGATTGTTTTCTTCTGGGTAATAGCTTTGATAGCTTGATGTTCTTGTCGACAGAACAATGTTGCACGTATATTAAAATTCCGTTTATGAATAGGAACAGACTGTAATGATTGGTGTTAACTGTGATAATGGTTGATGGCAAAATTATGATAAAATGCAGTGTATATCTGATTTATAGTTCCTGTAGAAGTAACCTGGTTGTTGTACGAAAGGTAGATAAGGGTTGAAAAGTTTTAAATGAAGTCTTAAAACACAAAATAAGGCCCTTGGCATGCCTTATATAGTCTATATAGTCTTATTGTGTTGGAAAAGATACACATGTTTTTGCCATGGAAATATCCATCGGCATTTGTGGGAACTGTAATGGTATATCAATTGAGGAGACAGGGATTGAAAGATGGACGAGGTCAATATTTTGTGAAATATCGAAATATGATGTAAAAGCTTTCTGGCATTAATTTGGGTGAGGAAATAAACACACATGTAAAGGGAAGAAAAGATTGAAATGATTGTTTCATGATTGTAAAAGAGTGATGATGATAATTGTGTGAAACAGTCATGAGGGTATTTAGGAAATGGAAGACTGAAATGGTGGGTTCATGCATGAAGAGAAGGTGAGATGTAGAATATTGGTAGCATAAAGAAAGACAAGCAGCTGGTGAATGTATAACTAAATCAGGCATACAATTTTCAGATTTAAAGCAATAGGTAAAAGGGAGGGACCAAAAGTATGTTGAAAAAAAGGAATAATTTCAAAGAAATATTGTGTAGGTAGTATGATCTTGAGAATGTCAATGACCAAGTAGAGATGAGAAGTATCCCTTACTGATGGATGCAAAGTCATTACCCTTTGAAACATTGAAAAATCCATGATTACTGTGACATTAAAATCCCTTCACCAGATGACAGTTTGACTAAGTTTAATATGAAGCAAATTCTGAATTGTTTATCTTTAACTAAATTTGAAATAAAAGATTTGAGATAAAAGATTCAAGATGATAACACAGTGATGTTTTCAGATTTATTACAAATTCATCATGAGACTGAGGTGACAGTCTGGCTAATTTAGTGGTTCGATATTACATGTTTGGTGACATCATCAGGAAGTTATTATAATACAGGTTTGTTTACATATATGGTGGAGTAGTTAGCGGATATTTGTCAAGAGGTGTTAGTATTGGGATGATGATTAATTGTTTGGGCAAGTGGTGTGAGTTTGAAAAGGGACAAAATCCTTTGCTGGCTTGAAGGCCATTGTTCAGTTGTGGTTAATAAGATTAATCTTCTATCAGTAAAAGTCGGTTTTGTGTTGGTGTAAATTGTTGATACTGACAAAAATGTCTGGGTGTAAATGTGTTGGGAGTCAACTATTGATGCTAACAAAAACCTTTGGGAAATATGTTAACACTGCATGATTATATCAGATGTTCCTACTACAAAAACATTAAAATCAGCCAATTTCAAATCTACTTAAATGATGTAATGAATGCTGTGAGAATGAAATGCAGGGAAAGAGAATGGCAAGGAGGTCTGGAAAGCAGGCTGTGACAGTGAACTGTATTTTAAACTGGAATACTAACTTTGCCGCATTGAACTAAAATACATCTGGAACGACAAGTCAGGGGGGTAAAATGAAGCCCGATTTTTTCATTTTCGCAGGTCGCGCTAGGTTTGTTTGTGCAAAAGGAAGGGCCCCTTATTTGTTGCTGTCATGTTGGAGATCAGTTTCAAAAGAATATATTATCAACGCTCTTGTAAGCCCCAGCCTTCATGGGCTAATGTTATTGTTTTCTAAGGCCCCCCATGGTTGGCCTACGTCAAAGAACCACACTTATCGCATGATTACTTCAGCTTATTCTTGGAACTATATTTACATTTCCAAGTACTCTTGATTGGTAACCAACTTGTTTTGAAAATTTATTCTTTAGAAATTCAAAACCAATAGTTTTGTTTTAAAGGTATTTTGAATTTAAAATGCACTCTGTATATATTATTTTGACTGTGGCATGAATCAGCCAGTAGATAAATGATTCGCAGAAGTACAGTTGGCAACGCTGGAACTGTTCTTTCTCTTCTTTTCAAATTTCAGTTGTTATCAGAAGATTGGAAATTTTCGCGGTTGCGATAATTGAAAGAGTTGCCTTTCAGAATGGCTGGTGTATCGCTTGACGCTGTTAATCAGTAAGAATTTTTTATTCTTCGTGTTATTTAAAGAAACACAATGTTTGCAAATGAATGTCAAATATATGAACATTTGCGTTCAAACCAATTATAAAGGTACTTCAATCAAATATGGAAAATGAGTCAAATGGTAAATTGGTTCACTACAGACCACTTAATTTCGTGGCTAGTTAGATTTCTCGAATCAAGTACATCCAGTTCGATGTCAACTTTAGTTTCAATTTCAGTAGACGCAATTGCATTCAATAGCTAGAAAAGTCGAACATCCCGAGCTTGTGAGTAACATAATGTTGCAGGCAAGAGAGAGATACGTTTGGGAAAGTATCTGTTGCACCGACTTCAGACTTTCTTTTCTAGTATCATTTTGGGCGTTTCAATAATGTTAAGCCATATTTGACGATGTGGCTGGGTGTGACCTGACAGCTCAATACGTCATCACTCCAACCATACGTGACATTCGGTAGAATTTAGACGGCTGGCTTGCTTGAGATTCTTTTGATTTTATCGTTTATTTTTCAATCTTGTTTTCATCGCTAAACCGATGGCAACCAGGCTTTGAAAGAAATGCCATATTTGTTTAATCGCGAGTCTTTCAATCAAGATTAAATATCGTTTGTTATTCGAGCCAATTCTCGGGCGTAGTTTTTAAATACCCAACCACATACTTATTTACCTGCATCATGTATACCTGACCAAACCCTAATCTGATTCTAAGTTATAACTTCGTCTGATTATCTTTGGGGGTATCTTTATGGCGGGGTATTCTAAAAGTGTGCCTATTCTTGCGACAAAAATGTTTTCGGGAATCACTGAGTATTTTAATAAAATACACAACAACGGTAACTCCAAATTACTATTGAGAATTTGAGAGAGCTATCTGTTTTCTTTTGACTAGATCAAATAACATAGAAGCCATATTTATACTGTACACGCATGCAACATAATCATTCCTGATGATGTCTAAATAAAGTCGATATGTTGAATGGAAATGATTACGTTAGCTTTTTCTCGGGACAACATTTTTCCAAACCAAACTAACATTTTTCCATAAAAGTGTTCACTTTGTGTCTACTTAAGATTTTCCATTTTCATTTTAGCCATTTATAACTGCTCAACTTCTGTACAGCAGTATATATATGTTAAACTTTTTTTATCATTTTTATAGATACATTGACGAGCACATGGTAATTAATTTGATATACTAATATAAATATAAGCTTGAAGATTTTTAATCCAGTAATATTTATTGTTAATAATAAAAGATTTATTGACCTTATATCCTATACACAATACAACCAAACCTATAACAACGCATTCCACGTCATCCAATCATCTTAATCCATTCTACTATCCAATTAGACGCTCTAAACGTCTAGAAACTAAAAACAATTGTAAATAGCTAAACTACCTGTATTCTGAAGAAGGTTCGAAGCACCGAGTCGAAAGCTCAATAAATCACTTATAAAAACCCGGAGAAACTCTTATTATTAGCAATAATTAACTATAAATATCTATATCTCATTAGTAATATATGTATTTATCGCATGTGCACTCTACTATAAATCACGTTTGATCATCATCTTTTTTGTATAGAGCAATTTCAAAGAAGGTCTTCGAGATGCAGTTGCTATTAAAAGCGTATCGTCTAATAGAGACCATCGAGGAGACGTCATCCGAATGATGGAAACGGCTGCATCGGTATTGTAATACAATAATTATCTTTTTTGTCACTGAAATTTTTCTTTTTTGCACGAGGACTGGGGCTATATATGTTAGAAGCACACTAATCACTATGCAATTTCTTTCATGCTATATGTAGAGAATGGAAAACAGTTTAGGAATGTCAGTTGAACTAAGAGATCTTGGCCTTGACCCAAATTATCCCGATGGAGATGTTCAACTTCCACCTGTGATTCTTGCTTCACTTGGAAATGACCCGACCAAGAAAACCGTAAGTTGTTTCTGGAAATTGTCGATTTGCTGCTCAATTTCAGCGTTGGAAATTGACGTAATGCATTCTGATTGGCTTTTAACATTCTTATTAGCTCTTAGTATTCTTATTGGCTCTTTTAATGTTCTTTTTGCGTACAATTTGCGCTTAATTAGAACCATTTAATTTTTAGCTGTGCATTTATGGTCATCTTGACGTTCAACCGGCAGAAATGGTATGGTTTAATATTTGCTTTACCTCTCGTTTGAAAGGAACAAACTACGTCATTGTGATTTGATCAAACCGTGTTTTATTTTTAATTATCGTATCAAAACTGTAATGAAATATGTATATGGTTAAAAATAGTATCCAAATCGTATTTAAATATCTAAATAGTTTAATAATGTATCGAAATCTTTATGAAATATTTCAACAGTCAAAATTAGTATCCAAATTGTTTTTAAATATCTAAATAGTGTAATATAGTACTTAAATTGTCTTGAAATTTCTTAGTAGTTTTTTTATCGTATATAAAAGTCATGTTTTCTTTCTCATATAGTCAGATGGCTGGAATCATCCTCCTTTGAATTGACAATTGTTGATGACGAAATGTTTGGTCGCGGATCGACTGACGACAAGGTAGGCTATAGATTGAAAAATTGTGATGCTTTTTTTCTTTCCTTAAATGATAATTTTCTATGAATTTAAAGTCGCACACATTAAAACGTATGCTGGCATGTAAATCATATTTAAGTGCTCCAGTGGGCGTCACGTTAAGAAAGCGTTAAATTTTCAACTTTCTACTGTGGAACACCTTTTAGTTTCCGACTGTAATCGAGGCTATTAATATGTACGTTGCTCTCCGTCTTGCTATGCTTAAAGTCGTAAAAATGACGACAAAATTTTCGTTAAAACTTTCAAGACGATACTAATATGTGTCGACCATGGGTTAGCCAGAGGCACGTCCTTTTAAAGACCGAATTGATGAATTCAGATTGATTTTCTGGAAATACCGTAGACAGCGCTATCTTACGTGAACGCTTTTGCTAATGACATGACAACTGAATGAATTGATTCTTGGATTGAAACCAACCTCAGCGGAATAAACAAACAATGTGACCACCTCACGACGGCTGCTGACCACAATAGCATTGTTCCAAATCAAATAGTCTTTGCCATTTCACCATCAACATGTCGGCCATGACGCAAAATGCAAATCACTTATTAGCAACAGCCTCCTTGCTGTTAGAAAATAGATGACATTTTTTCTTGAACAATGGTCTTGCTTTTGAAATCGTGGCCAGAGATTTGCCTGGCGGAAAGCGAATTTTCAATGTGAACATTGTAGCCCAACATAAGACTTTTAAAAAAAAGCCTTTTATTATTTTGATGGTTTTGTTTTTGTTTGCTTAATGCGGATAGGGACCTGTCCTTGGATGGTTGAATTCAATCGAAGCTTTCCAGCAAACAAACACCGGTATTCCTTTAAATTTGAAGGTATGTGGCCACTTTCTTGACGGAAGATTATGGGAAATGGCCGTTAAATAAAATATATAAGTGGAAGGCCATCTTTAGAAGAACATGCATGTAATTTTATGAATCCAAATTTCGCCTTCAGACACATGTGTGTCTTTCTTTGGACCGTAAGTGAAAAGATTGAGGCTAATTTAATCGCCCACTTTAAATTTCGGCGGGAAATTGGCTTGCAGTTTTATTAAAAAAGTGGCTGAGTTTTTAGACGTGTTACTCTTGAATTGCTTTGCCTGTTGAGGCAATAAAATTAATGTAAATGGCTGAAAGTGCAATATTAATATTTTGTGTCTTTGGAAGTCCCTTTTTTCACGATATATCAGCTGTTTTACTTGTTTGCCAGTCATTAAAATGATTCATGCAGTAAAATTACTCTCGTGTTTCAGTTTGTGCTTGAAGGTATGGAGGAAAGTGGAAGTGTTGGTTTGGCAGATCTTATCAAGGAGGAAAAAGATCTATTTTTCAAGGTTTGTGCCAGATGAAATGTCAAACATTATCATTTCTTACGTTATTTCCTTGAAATAAGTCTTTAAGATCACGCATGCTTGTAAATAATCACTTAGCTTGATAATGACTTTGAAATAAAGTCGAAATATTGCTTTAAATCTTGTCTCTTCCTTTTATAACTCGAATCTTGAGTGTACAAGATGATGTTTGTTGGAGTGGGTTTTTTCTTTTAAGTAAATGTTTCATAACTTAATTTTCAGGATGTTGATTTCATTGCTATATCCGATAACTATTGGCTTGGTACTTCAAAACCTTGTTTGACTTATGGTCTTCGGTAAGTTAGACATCTCCTACCTTTGTCGATTGTTATATGTTTGTAGATGTAGATCGTCCAGGGTAGTATAGTCCTAAGAACGACTGACTACCACCAAGGTTGTCAAAACATCAGTCAACATCAGCATCAATAGTCCTTCTCAGACGATCTACATCTAGAAACATCTATATCCATTGTTTTGTTAAACAGATAGAGGCTTGCAATTAATCGCCATTTGGTTGTCTTGTGCTTTGTTTCAATCGCAATCTTTATCGTTTTCGTATACAAATGACGATATATAGCGTCATGTAAGAAAAAAAACAGTTTTCTATTGCAGTCCTGAAACAACAATCCTATACTTACCACACGCCAATTGCCATTACGTACAATTTGCAATTGTTACTTCATTTGCTATTTTTATATATTTATTATTTTCGTCATATGTCAATTGTACAATGATGTTCACCACTGCACGTTAATATTGAAAGTCCATCTGTCCAGCGGTTATTTGTGTGTGTTCTCTAGAGGTATCATCTATTTCCATGTCAAAGTGAATTGTGCCGACAAAGATTTACATTCTGGAAGCCATGGTGGACCTGTGTAAGTTGCTTTGAAGATATTGTTAATAAATACGTTCTTGTTGTAATGTATGGTTACAAATGTTCGTTGAAGTGTGAACCCAGGTGGAATGATGCATACGTTTGTGTAATATAGGTATGAAGCAATGTCGGATGTGGTTGCATTGCTGTCCACGTTAACTGACGAAAAGGGAAAAATATTGATACCAGGTGTTAATGATTCCGTTCGTGAATTGACTCCTGAAGAGGAAGCTCTCTATGACGATTTGGATTTTGACATGGTGCGTATTTAGTTATGTCAGCAATTGCATTATAAAACAAATCACTTTCATTTCAAAGCCATCATCAGACAGAATGATGTATTTACAAGCTGGAAGTTAATTGTATATTTTTACAGAGTAGGTGTTGAGTTAGCAACATCACGAGGACATATTTTATGCCATGTGTGTTATGCCAAATATCTAAGTGCTTGTATGAATCTAGTCTGTGACATTTAGTGGTGTGATGCACCCAAAAAGCACATTCTTCATCCCATTCGACCCTAAAATGAAAAACATGAAAGATTATGGCTTGAATTCTCATGTTTCCTTTTATGCTAATTTAACGTCGATTTTCTGCTCATGCGCATTGCACATTTGTTTGTGTAGAATGTCTACCGTGAGCAACTCGGTGCACACGAGCTGACAACTTCTAACGAGAAAAATACACTCATGAGACGTTGGAGATATCCATCCTTATCCATTCATGGTAAATATAAACATTCAATCATGCTACTCAATAATTGCATAACGCCGAGAACTTCGCGAAGTGTAAAGTATAGGTTACATAAAGTAAAGGTTATTTGCAATGCAGCGTTTCAAATCATGTAGTGTTGTTTGGGTTTTTTTTGGCTATTAATATCATTGTGACATTTCGATTTAAACGAGTTGATGTGTTCAATGAGTTTGTAAAAATATCTTAGGAGTTTAAATACTTTCTTAGCAGTAGCAGTATCAAATAATACAAGGAAAACTTCCATAATGTGATACATAAGTCTACGCTGGATTCTTATTAATTTGAAGTTTGTTTTCATAAGTACTTTTTGCACTTTTCTATTACGTTTCCTGAACTTTTTTTCAAATGCATCATATGGACCTTGTTTCGTATGGTTTTAATGACTGTATTCAGTAAGTTGAACTTAAGGATGAATTCGTTTTTTGATTCATTTTCTCATTGATTTTGAAGCTTAAGTTCGTCAGTAGATCATCATCAACTTAGTCTTTCTTTGCCGCAATTGACGCTCATGCCCAAGTCTTTGGTGTTCATCAATCTTTTTGTTTTGTTGTAGGATTTGAAGGTGCGTTTTCTGGCCCTGGTGACAAAACCGTCATTCCATATGAGGTAATGTTGTCGTTGTTGTTGTTGTTGTTACTGTGATTTTTGCTGTTGTTGTTGTTGTTGTTGTTCTTCTTCTTCTTCTTCTTCTTCTTCTTTGTTTTACATGTTTATTCATAAATTGTCTTCATTTCACATTGTTTTATCTAAAGGTGATAGGAAAGTTCTCAATTCGCCTTGTACCTGATCAAGATCCTGAAGTGATTGGACAGTTAGTTATCGATCATCTTAACTATGTTCACAGACAAAGAGGAAGTCCAAATATCATGACGTAAGTACAGAAATGTGTTGATAAAAATCATAAAACTCCAGCTATCTTCCATTGATCCATAAAATGTCACAAGATCCATACGGAATCCGTACGGGATGAATATTTTAACTTACATAGCTTTCGCTTTTCAGTGTACATCGGCTTGTTATTTTATTCGTTTAGTCCGACTTACTCCAACGGGGCTTCACGTGCTTGGCTCGGAGATTTCGAGAACCCAGTGTTTGAAGCTGGAAAGATGGCTACATTAGATGGTATGCTCTAAATCAAGAATGTAAGACACCTCGTGATTTCAAACGTCAGACATTCTGAACTTAAAGTTACGTGATATTCGTGTTGTGGATATGATCCTTATTCATATCCAATTCATTTTTTAATGTTTTTGACGACTCAAACACCAAAACATTGACCATCGCAATATTTCCCGAAACATAAAGTCACATTCATATTTCTAGCAAAAGAATAAACTTGAGCTAAATCTTAATCCACCTATTCACAATTTCCATGATTTTTAAAAGGCTCGTGCTGGTGTTTAAAGTCTTTGAAAAATACTTAAAAATAAAAGATCAATTTACCATATGAAAGCTAGGTGCTTAATAATATTGCAAAAATATAATGAATTTAAGTCTGCAGTTTGCAGACATAACTCGACAAGATATATGTTTGACGTTGCTTATTTTATATAGAACTCTGTCTATGTAAATGTCTATGTAAATGTCGATGTAAATGTCTATGTCAATGTCTATGTAAATGTCTATGTAAATGTCTATGTAAATGTCTATGTAACTGTCTATGTCAATGTCTATGTAAATGTCTATGTAAATGTCTATGTAAATGTCTATGTAAATGTCTATGTCAATGTCTATGTAAATGTCAATGTCAATGTAAATGTCTATGTAAGTGTCTATGTAAATGTCTATGTCAATGTCTATGTAAATGTCTATTATATAATACACTAAGACATAGTTGTTTAAAAGTAGTAAATTTGAGCCGTGAAAATTTTTGTAAAGTGCTAAGATAATTTTGCGTTGTCTATTGTCCCTTGAAATTTTGATTGTTGTCCTAAAAAGTCTTAAAATAATCTGACTTGAGCACTTCACTAACCTTGTAAAATCGTAAAATAATGGACTAACAATGTTAGGATTTGATGCCAACAAAGAGTGAAACTTAAATAACTGTCTCTTTATTCCAGTCCATAATGTGGAGCCTGACTACACCCGCGAGGGAGGTAGCATTCCAGTTGTTTTGACACTCGCCGAGACCACTGGCAAGGACTGTGTGCTTTTGCCGATGGGAAGGTCTGATGATGGTGCTCATTCTCAAAATGAAAAGTTGAACGTGACGAATTTTCATGCTGGTGTAAGTTTAGGAATTGTAAAAGGGATATTACAAACATATTCGTCCACCGACAACACGATGTTTTTCTTATGCGTTGCCATGGGAACTTGCTGACGCCATACTTACACACTTTTTACTGCTTTAAATGGCTTAAACTTGCTATTGATAGTCTTGCTGCTGCCTTAATAGGCAGTGCTAAAAAAATAGTGAAGAGTAAAGATGCTAGCTTTTGAAAAACAAGCATAGCTTTTGATTTCCTAAAGCGATATTTAAAATGTCCAGAATCCACTTCGTAGATTTTGCGAACGTTTTGGAATTATTTTACAATGCGCAGATTACCCAAACTTTGCCTTTTATGAAGTTTCATTCATGAAGTGAATGCCTTTCCTGGAAAACTTTAAATGTTTCAATAAAATCAAAAATCCTACTTACTCTATAACTGTGCTGTCTTATTTCTTCAGATGAAGCTGTTTGCTGCATATATTAAACATCTCGATACGTTAACAAGAGGTGCTGGAAAACAGACGTGCACGATGAAATGAATCTGACGTCAGCTGAATTAGCTTTGGAACACGAGATTAAAAGACATCTTCTAATGAATTGCTTCGTCGAATACGCAATTTGAAAAGCACAAGTTTCTAAATTACGCATGTAGACCTTGAACACTTAACTTTTTAAATTTTAATCCATAATTATGTACAATTAAGAATTTTCACTGGTCAGATGTTATTAATTAGAGCACGGACACACAATTGACGTCATACGACTTCAGTTTCGCTTGTTGTAATCACACTTTCACGTTCAAAAGGAAGAAGAATGAAAATAGAAAACCGAGAATATTTACTCGATAGTCATTAAGTACTTTTTGTTGACAGCTGTTAAAGCTGTTTCAAGTGAAAATTTTCATCTACAAACAAATGTGACGGCAACGAGAAGGTTTGATTTATGTTCAAATTCAAATTAGACTGAACGCAGACAAAAGAAACTGATCAAAAATATAAACTTCCGCGAGTATTTTCAAGTAGAAACAACGGAAATGGAAAATTTTGAAACTTTTTCTAAAATGTATACTTGTACTGTACTTCATACTTTGTTTACATTGTGTTTTGAGCCTTTCAGAAATTTTCTTTTGCTACTTTCGGAGATGTTCTTTTGCAAATTTACAATTTTCATTTAAGGCAGCTTCCTTCGACCATTTCAGGGAGAAGGTCGTTTCTAAATATTGGCGGAATTCTATTTTTACTTCACGTTCTATTCGAAGTTGACAAATCGTGGCATTTTGATTGTGTGAGTGTATAGACTTGGGGATTGTTACCACCAGAAAAAGCAGTGATCTAAATACTCACCTTTAGCCATGATACTACTTGCTCACGGACATTTAGCTGTCATATTCGGGAGCGAAACTAGAACACTAATTGTCGTGAGGGGGTGAATATTCATATATTCAGATCTGCCCTGCTTATTTCTTTTCAAATTAAATTGCCAACAAAAGAAATCAGCTGGGCAGAACTGAATATGTGAATATTCACACCCTCCCCAATTAGCGTTCTAGTTGCGCCCGTGGTCATACTCACGTTGTTATTACAAGTTGTTTGTATTCTTTTTAGTCTCTGAAAGATCCTTGGTAATTTACAATGATTTTAATTGACCATTTCTTTTCTGAAGATGAAACAGACAGGAAAAGTAAGTAAAGACATACAAGCAATCATACATGCATTTTTTCGAATAAGATTGCAGAAGAAAAGTCAATCTCAAGGTTTATAGAATAGGATTGAATTGGACAAAGCATTTGATTTTGTTAGAAGTAAATGAAAAATACTTCGATAAAGGCTTACGTTGTCTCTTGGTTGGCGACTACTTCCGCGTGGGAATAATAATGGGTTAGGACTTAAGTTTATAAAATTGTATGTATTATATGGTAAGATATCCAAACCATGTTGATAAAGCAGTGAAAGGTACTTTGTCTGCGTTTCTACAATTAATTAGTTTTGACATACTCTTATTGATATTGTTACAAGGTAGTTTTTTTTTTGCTTTTTACCAAGCGACACAGGAATATTCTCGATGCACAAAAAAGCACCATCTTCGTTGATAATTAATGTACCATAATTCATTCATTTAGGTCTTAGTGTACTGCAAAATGGTAAACTTCTCCTGTTTTTATCTGATGATTTTTTCAACAGAATGTTTGAGGCAGATACTCCAGCCATTTCTGTACAAAAATTAATGAAGAGATTAAAATGAGTTGGTACATTCCAGGTGAATTACAATTTGAGTTGGAAATATTTTTTCAACTATTTTCTGTTGGCTGTAATGTTTGCAGTGACCAGAAAAGTTGAATAAGTATTAGTTGCGCCTTTAATTATGTGATCAATTGAACCAACGATTCTACTTAACCATTTCTTCTCTGAAGATGAAACAGGCAGAAAAAGTAAGTAAATATGCAAGCAATCATTTATACATTTTGAGTAGGACGACAGAAAAGCAAACGCATGACTGAATGAGTTCAATAACATGGGATTGATTTTACTTTTTTTCCTGAGTTTGACAGAACCATTTCAAGTATTGTTTTTTTTAAAAAGTAGTCTTTATGGACATGTTGTGGGTGGTGTATGTTCTGCAGGGCACACCGTCCTTCTTACGGACATGATGAAGTATCGCAGTTAGCATTCACTTCACTGGGCCGTGCTAAGATCTAGCTCAAACGTCGAACTTTACACGAACCGAAGGCATTTGAAACAAAAGGTAATGAGAAAGGTAATCTCATTTTCTTCTTCCTTTAATGCGTTTGTTGCATGTAAAGTAAGACGTGTGAAGCAGACTTAATGTTATGAGCTTGAAAACTAAAGTGAAAGCCACCAGCCATATTACGTTTGAAATATTTTTGGTCAAAGCCTGTTGCGGATCTTTAATTTACATGCGCGTACTAAGATATCGATAATTGGGGGGCTCGTATTCATTTATGTATGTTATAATGCCTAGAAGACGACGGATTACAAAGGAATTTGACACGGTGTATCCAGGTGTATCATGCATGTATGAATATGACCCCTCCCTCAATTCAGTCCATCTTCCTACGCCCTTGCATCAAAATTACGTTTTCATTTCATGGAACATCCCAAAATTTCGGTAGAAAATGAAATCGAACATGGTTCCGAATGGAAAGATATTTCGAATTTCGGTTAATCCCTGGGGCCTCGTCCTGAAATACGAAATTTAAAAAATTTCCAAATTTTACATTCCTCTTTCAAGTTTGCGTTTTTTGTTTACAGTTATTAGTGGGTCAACCCTTCAAATATACTAAAATAGTTGGTCCTCGGTGGCACTCTTGAATGAGATATAAATAATAAAGCACATTTTTCAGCACGAAGAGATTGCGTCTCTCTCATAAAGGCTATCTACATGATTTAAACTGCTTCGCATCACAGAATCACAGAATTGACATCGTCGAAATAAACGTTTTTCAAAGCTACAAAGCTGCTAAAATACATTGCCATTTACATAAATAACTATTCCGCAAGCCTGCCTTCTTTGCGTCGTTTCATTTTCAAATGGAATATTCCAGAAATTGAACTTGAGGTTTGTTTGTGCAAAAGGAAGGCGCCCTTTGAGTTTCGATGTCGTCATGTTGGAGATCTGATACAAAAGAATATATTATCACTGCTTTTGTAAGCTGCGAGCGGTGTGGGCTTAGCCTATACGTCATAAAGCCATACTTTTTGTAAGGACTATGCAATATTGAAGAGACGAAGCTTGCTCTTCTATACATTACATTCTTTTGAGCGGTCGCATAGATTATACTGCTTTATAAAAAATTAATGCTTTTTGTTATTTTTCGCAAATCTTTAATTCGAAAGTTATTGCAAATGACTTATATACGGTCTTGTAGTGGATTCTTGGTATAATTTGCTTGTATTTTTTGTTGTAAAGTTTCTCCAAACCCAAAAAATAGATTCATAGAACATAGGTAGTGTCGCGGAGATATGTTGATCTCGTCCAGCAAATTAGTCCGCGCGCTGATTTGTTTTACAATTTTCAGATTTAATGAGAATGAACTGCGGCATTTACAAACCAGTGGCGTGCGGTGACCGAATTTAATAGGCAAGCGCTGGGGGTGAGGTTCGCGGCTTGCCGGCAGTCAAAACAACAATACAATATACTTTGTGATTGACTGCGTTACAACACATTTAAAGCGTATTTTACGGGTTTTTTTGCTGTAATGGATGACATACACGAAAATCAACCGGGTGAGGTTCAGCCCTATCAATATGAACCTGAAGTGAAGGCCGAAACTAGTGAAGAAAGCGGTTCCGAACAGGAGAGTGAGCAGAGCGACTTGTCCTCGTCGGAGGATGAAATACATGCCGAATTTGAGAAAGCAAATGCTTAGCGCCTTCAAACTGGTTTAAGTGTGGATATTGTACTTTGTCAAAAAAGGCAATCGAGTGTTTTTGTTGCCACGAAAAAGCGCTTGAATACGATGAGTATGAGGCTTTGCTAGGCCAAACAGAAACTCAAGGAGTAAATTGCTTGACAACACACCAAGAATTTAGGGACAATATGCTCTCAGAAAGTGTGTTAAAGATAGACGTGTGTCGGTACTTGTACATTGTGCACGCAAACACGCACGTAAAACATTACGGATAAACGAAACTCTACGGTCAAGAACAAAACATAGCGGCTTAGAGCTTATCACCTATATAAAACTATATAATCTTTCAAAGACTCTTATGTATACAAATAATAAATTAAACGTATAACTCATTTGTTGGTCACAGGTTTGTAATATGGGAAAATGAAATATTTCTATTGCACGAAATGTTCAGTGTATAAAACGCGCTTGTTGTTGTCTGGGCTTACACTTGGTATGTCGGCAAAACCTAGTTGTAAGATCTGCTAAAATAAACGTTTCTACGTCTTATAACGACTAAATATTGGAAAAGTATATAAGCGTGATAAACTACACAACTTTCGTTAATCTTAACAACCGCCGACTGTTGTTTTTGTTTTAAAATTCCAGTGAACAAATGTGCTATATATTATTATAATACTATTATTTTATATTGTGTCATTCAGTTGATACCAGCCAATGACGTCAGTAATGTATTCCGCATAATTTGGCATAAGTTTTTTTTTCAAAATGGCGGATAAGGATTCAACTTTATGTCAAATTTTCTCAACAGTAAAACTCAAAAGAGCCACGAAAACATGAAATTAAGTATTCCATAGCTATCTATGATAAACGTATGCAAAAAAAATTTTCGTTGCCAATGTCCTTTAAACTTACGCACTTAACTTTATAATTACGTAAAACTACTCAAATTTCAAGTACATTATCCGCTGTGTAATAACTGCACCTTCTTTAACAAAATATATAAAAAGCCTGTAAATAAATTCTAACACATAGAACACTCACGACTGTTGTAAATAACTTCTTCGCTAGTGAATAAAATAATCACAAAATTTAATAGCGTTCTAGTACATTGAACTCACGTTCGGAGCTCATACGAAAGACTTATATATAACGCTAAAATCTACCGGACACAAATATCAAAACTACTATGCAAAAGGAAGCTCTTGTCAATATCATAATCTTGTATTACATGCTACAGATAATATCTTCTACATACATAAATTGCAAGACAATAGGCGCGAAATGTATTGTAGCAGTCGTGATTATAACAATTAAGAACAGCCAGTTTCGCGCACAAAATTGGCACGGTGTGTTACAAACTGAGGCCATGGCGTTGTTTAATGTTTATATTTTGGTATAATGACGTCATGGCAACGTGTTCTCCCGTTCTTCAAAATGTGTCTGGCACTGACTCGTACGTTTCAGAATATCGGAGAGTCGTGTTTATTATTTAGTATCTTGTACCTTTTATTTTTAGTCATTAATTTACGAATTCAACGACACAAGACTGACAAGAGCATAGTGTTTTGGTCATAATGCTAGTCATACTTTACCACAACACACGTTTGCGTGCATTTCGATATCTCTGCAGACTGCGGCCCCTGCTTGTTTACGCACATTGTGCGCAGAAAATAATAAAATAACCAGTAAAGCACCTACTACTTTGAATTAGAAATCAGAACATTACCTTTCGCTCTCAGTCATCTTTTAATAAACGATAACATTAACGGCGTGAATACTTCGGATGTCCAATGTGTTGAATATACGAATATTATTCGCGCGCTGATATGTGTTTAAAATTGCGAGCGTACAAGACTGTTGACCAATCGCTATCAAGCGGCGCCCTTAGAAGCGTCGCTTGCCTTTTCTCGATATTCCTCGAATAAGAAGGTTAGCACTATTTTCCACCCAGCAAACCGCCCTTTACTTTGAAATATAATATTTTACGCAATATAATATTTTATACAATCTAATATTTTACACAATATAATATTTTATATAATATTTTACACAATCGTCGAAAAACGACATATTTTCCAGCCTGGATTATAAGTTTATAACTTAAGGTGGTTGCATGAAAATTTATACTGCAACATTTATCTGTAAATATTTTCATATGTTGATATTAAAAACTGTATTATAAAAACATAAAATTACTCGCCATCTCAAAACGACCTAGCACCAGTGCATGCATGGTTTCCTTTTAGCTTTTGGTTCTTTCCCATTAGCCGCCATCTTTAATTTATTTCCGATTGTGTAAAGTAAAGGGCGGTTTGCTGGGTGGAAAATAGTGCTAACCGAATAAGAAGCCTCCAAATCTAGATTAACGCATGCGCAAATGTTCAAATTGAGCTCCGAAGGCAAGCGCGCTTGCCTTGGTTAATAAATAAGAAATTTTTAAGGTGTATTTAATCCACTTGACTCATCTTACAAGTGTAGCAAAGTGAAACCGAAAACCACGACAGTAAATCGCGTATAAATAGCAAGCATTTCAACTGTAAAGACAATTTAGACAAAAGATTACATTGACATTGTTTAGAACAGAAAAATTTAAACTGATTTTGCTCAGAGATTGATCCAAAAAATTTTTGTTCGGTAAATGCTTAGGCAAGCGGCGCTTGCCTACGCTTGCATGACCGCACGAAACTGTTTCGTGACATGGGAAATACTAAAGTTCGTGTAATTGTGACATCGAACATTAGGAAGCTATATGCAAATAAGTAGGAAACTATGAGTGCACACTTCTTTATCATTTAAAGTAAAGGAAACCACAAAACTCGCAAAACACACCTTAGGTCAGTTTTATACGTCGCATTTTACATGCGTCGAATGCATTAGAGACAAAAGAAAATGAGATAAAATTCCTTATTATCTTTTGTTTTGAATGCATTCGACTCATGTAAAATATGACGTATAAAACAGGCCTTACTTTCATCATGCAATCTAAGGTCAATTGCAAACTGACACTTGAATAATAAAATGCAGCATACAATATTAGAACGGACTTCAAACGTGCCAAGTCTCAAACTCACGCGCATAAACAAAAGGTTGCCTGGGCAGTTAAACTTGAGTTAAGATCGCACGGCGATTTTAAATGTTTGAAGAACTTTTGAACGATCATTTGAAAACGGTTAAATCTTCTACATAGAATCATGACAAAGAAAAGTGGAAAAAATACAAATGTTAACTGGAATGCATGATACACGATGCACATCAGCAAACTAATGTTCGTTTCGTAGTAAATAGAGTTTAATAATAATGTATAATTTACTTCGGTTTTTTTCTGTCCAATTATTTTCAAAATAAGGCTGTCTGTTTCACGAAGTGTATTGTAATATGTCAACAAGCCTCTAACGTCATCAAAGCGGTTTTGATGACGTTAATTGTCAACTTTGCTTCGTTGGTGACTTTTTTTTACCCATAATTATACGGTGAAATATGCTGCGAGGAGAACGCTAGGAATGTCATTTATCAAAACACAAATTTTGAAAATCTTCATGCAGTTTTATCCTAATATCCCCCTAAACGTGAAAGCAGTTCGAAAGCATGTATCTTAAATACGAAGAGGTTGTTAAATGTTCACTGATAAAATCCATCCACACAATTTGAATTGCTTTGTTGCTCAAAATCACAGAATTGAAGTCGTCAAAAGGAGCGTTTTACAAACCTGCTGAAATATATTGCCAACATTAACCAATAATTTTGCGAGGCCTGCTTTCGTTGGATCGTTCTCTCACATCGAATATTCCAGAAGATGAACCTGTTGTTTGTTTGTGCAAAAAGGAAGGCGCCCCTGGAGGTTTAATGTCGTCATGTTGGAGATCAGATACAAAAGAAAACATATTATCAACGCTATTGTGAGCACCGGCCGGCGTCGGCTTAGCCTATGTCATAAAACCATACTTCTAGTAAGGACCATGCAATATTGAGGAAAAGCTGGCTTCCGTATACGTCACAATCTTTTGAGCAGTCGCAAAATTATACTTTATTCAAAATTAATTCACTTTGTAATTTAAATTGCAAACATCTAATTCGAAAAATTATTGCAAAATGAGATATATACAGCTTGATGTAGTTTTCGTATAATTTGCTTCCATTTTATCTCGTAAAGTTCCGTCCACCAAAAAGTAAAGTTATAGCATATAATATCAGAACAGACTTCATACATGCCATGTCTCACGCTCTGCGCACAATGCGATGTTTCTCACGCACAAACAAAAAGTTGCCTAAGCAGTCAATTGAACTCGTCCTTCGGACTCGGGTATGTTTTTCTCAAATTGCACTCGAAATCATGCTATTACCTATACAAATAGAGTTTAACAATAATTTATTTGGAGTTTTTTATGTTCAATTTTTCTTCAAAACGAGGCTTTCTCTTTCATGAAGTGTTTTGTAACACGTCAACAAGCCTTTCAACGTCATCAAAGCGGTTTGATGACGTTAAGGTCGACTTTGAATTTCAATCACTTCTTATTTTTGATGGGCAAGATTTTCATTGTTCGTTGGTGATTTTAGTGCCAATATTTCCATGGTAAATATGCCGCGAGAACGCTGGAAATGCCATATCTCAAACAAGGAAATTTTGAAAATCTTCATGCACACATGTCCTATGACCCCCTAAACGTGAAAGCAGTACGAAAACACATATCTTAAGTGGGAAGAGATTGTTCACTCAAAACCATCTACACAATTCAAATTTCTTTGTTGCCCAAAATGACAGAATTCAAATCGTCAAAAAAACGTTTTACAAACCTGCTGACATATTTTGCAATTTACATTAACTAACTATTCCGCGAGCCCTGCCTTCATTGGATCGTTCAATTATCTTATGGAATATTCCAGAAAAAGAACTTGTGGTTTGTTTGTGCAAAAGAAAGGCGCCCTTGAGTTTTGATTCCGTCATGTTGAAGGTCAGATGCGAAAGAATATATTATCACCACTATTGTGATCTCCAGCCGGCGTGGGCAAACGGTGTTGTTTTCTAAGGACCCTGTGGTTGGCTACGTCATAGACCCATATTTATCACAGGAGTCTATGAAATATTGAAGAAAAGCTTGTCACTTCATACTTGACATTTGTTTGATTGTCCAAGAAATAATACACTGGTTTATACAAAATCAATTCAATTTATAATTTCAATTGCGAAATATCCATTGAGTTATTGAAAAATATTGCCAGATAAGTTATTCACAGATGGTAGTGTAATGTTCGGTTATTTTTTGCTTGTATTTGGTGTGGCAAAGTGTCTTCTTCCAAAAGATAAATTTATAGCAGACAATATCATAACGGAATTCGTACATGCCATTTCTCACGCTCACACGCATATTGCGATGTTCCTCACGCACAAACAAAAAGTTGCCTGAACGGTTAAAATTTAGCAAAGCACCAGTGGCGACTTTAAAATGTTTGAAGAATTTCTGAACGAGCTTTTGAAAGCAGCTAAATCTTTTACATGGAATTACAACAAAGAACCTCGAACAAATATAATTCACTTGAGAAATGCATGATGCATCATGCACCTTAGCAATTTAATGTTTATTAGTTCTCAGTAAATAGAGTATCAACTTAATAGATAATTAAATTGGGTTGAATTCTGTTCAAGCTTTATCAAAGCGAGGCTTTCTGTTTCACGAAGTCATATGTCGAGATGTCATAGTGTCGACAACAGTGGCTAAGAAGAATGTCAACAAGCCTTTAAAACGTCATCAAAGCGGTTTTGATGGCGTTAGAACTGCGTGCTCAAATCCTTTAATGGGCAACATTTTTATGGTTCGTTAGTGACTCTAGTACCCATATTTCAAAAGTAAAATATGCTCCAATGGAATGCAATTTCTGAGATTCATGTAATGTCCTAGGTTAGGATCCCCCTAAACGTGTTGGGGTATGGGCAGTAACGAGCAAATTTAAACCTTGACAACTATATTAGAGTTGTGAGATTGAATAAAGCAGTATAATTAATGTCACAGCTCAAACGAATGTAACGTATGCAGTGCAAACTTTTCTTCGATATTGCATAAACACTTACAAGAAGTATGAATCAATGACGTAGGCTGCTCATTCTTGGATGTATTTGCATAATAAGTACCCTTTCTAAGCAACCATTTGTAAATATCTTCTCAGTACTTTATTTTTTGAAAATACAAAACTAATAGTTCTGTTTTGAAGGTATTTTGAGTTTAAAACTCACCACCTATTCTTGACTTACAATTCAGCCATGTTGTTGGTCAGATACAAAAGAATATTTTATCCGTGTTATTGTTGGCACCAGCCGACGTGGGCGTGCAACATTATTTCGTGAAGTTCAAGGGAATGGTTGCAAGTCAATAATAGAGTGTTTTCATCGACCGCTGTTTACGTAGAAAATCCCATGTTGTGAAAAGACTTAATGTTGATTTAATGCTCTGTTGAGCTGCGGCACTTAGATGCAACCTACGTACACGGCCGCTTTGACGTCACATGACAACACTTTATATACTCTTGACTATCGCCAGTGCTTATTCGAGATCACAGTTGGCAACGCTGGAACTGGTCTATCTCATCTTTTCAACTTTCAGTTGTTTTTGAAGTTTTCACTGCAATAATTGAAAAAGCTGCATTTCAAAATGTCAAGTCTATCCCTTGACGCTGTTAACCAGTAAGAATTTTGTCAATATTTTCTAGGATTTAAGTGCAAGGAATGTTTGCGAGAGAGTGTCGAGTATACATCAACATTTGCGTTCGAACTTTTTTCCATAAAACTGTTCACTCGTGTTTGCTTCAGCTTTTCCAATTTGATTTTAGCCATTTGTGCTAGGTTGACTTGTGTTAAGTAGTTTATATTTAACACTTTTATATCATTTTTACAGGTACATTGATGACAACATGGTAATTTGATATGCAAATATTAATATTTATCTCATTAGTAATACACGTATTTCACTGCATTATGCGCACTATACTATAATTCAAGTTTTATCATCTACTATTTTTTGTGTAGAGCAATTTCAAGGATGGTCTTCGTGATGCAGTTGCTATTAAAAGCGTGTCGTCCACAAGAGAAAATCGAGAGGACGTTATCCGAATGATGGAAGCAGTTGCATCGGTATTGTGATACAATAATCATCTTTTTGTCTCTGAAATTTTTTCTTTCTCGCGCAAGAAACAGAGTTAAAAAGAGGTGCGAATATTAGAGGCACTTTAATTTCTATGCAATATTTTTAATGCTTTATGTAGAGAATGGAAAACAGTTTAGGAATGTCAGTTGATCTAAGAGATCTTGGCCTTGACCCAAATTATCCCGATGGTGATGTTCAACTTCCACCTGTGATTCTTGCTTCACTTGGAAATGACCCGAACAAGAAAACCGTAAGTTGTTCCTTGATATTGTCGTTATGCTTCTCAATTTCAGTGTTGGCAATTGGACATACTTTGCATTCCGATTGGCTTTTCAGCATTCTGATTGGCTCTTTTAGCATTCTTATTGACTCTTAATGTTCTTTTTACTCTATCGGCATTCTTATTGGCTCTTTCTCATTTTGATTTGTTCGTTTGGGGTTCTGATTGGCTCTTTTAGAGTTCTAATTGCTCTTGAATTGCAAATTTTTTTAATACAAGACTAAACTAATATTCTGTCACAATTCTGGTTCTTTTTGTGTATAATTTGCACTTATTTAATTCCTCGCGCTTTTCTAACACCTTACACATTCGCAATGTAACAGCAGGGCTACGTTTATCTTCATTATGGTATTTATGGTGACTTGTGACTTTTTTAGCTCTGCATTTATGGTCATCTCGACGTTATGCCGGCAGAAATGGTATGGTTTATTGTTTGCTTTACCTCTAGTTTCAATGGAACAAACCACGTCATTATTATTTGATCAAGCCATGTTTTATTTTTAATTATCTTATCTAAATCGTATTGAAATGTCTAAATAGTTAAGGATGGCATCCAAGTCGTATTTAAACATCTAACTCGTCTTATTAGTTAAATATAGCACCTAAATTGTGTTGAAATTTCTTATTACTTTTTCGTCGTATGTAAAATTCATGTTTTCTTTCTCATATAGTCAGATGGATGGTATTACCCTCCTTTTGAATTGACAATTGTTGATGACATAATGTACGGTCGCGGATCGACTGATGACAAGGTAGGCCATGGACATTTTAATCGAAAAATTGTGATGTTTCTTTTACCATTTCCTTAAATGGTAATTTTCCATCAATTTAAAGACGCATACAATAAAACATATGGTGGCATGTAAATCAAACCTATATGTTCCAGTGAGTTTGACGTATAGAAAGCGCTAAGTTACGGTCTAGAATTAACCTAACCAATCTGCTCTGCGCGCTCAATAAATGCCTACCTGTCATGCCAACTTGTTAACGTATATGATATTTGATTTTCCCCGTTTTGCAATGATTAGAGTAAACACATGCTGTACTGCATATCAACTGTCAACGAAATTAATAGCTGAATATTGTTACCGTTCTGCTGTTTTCACGTTTCACGGAGATGGAGAAGTGCGGTAATAATCGCATGAAGCACAACTCTGTCAGCAAATATTTATAAGAAAATTATTATAACCGAACGAAAAAATCAACGAGTAAAGAGTAATAAATTTGAAAAATTAACATCTTTCTTGTCTGCCATCTAAAATTTCAATAACTCTTGTGAATCCGTGAGTCGTCCGACCGTAATCGATGCTGTTAATAACGTATGCTGCATGCTCTCCATCTTGTTATGCTCAATTAAAAGTCATAAAAAGCAGGACGAATTATTTGCTGAAAATTGCTATATCATACTGATTTGCTGGGCACGTATTACACAGAGAGGCGTTAGTTAGGAGACCAAATTGATGAATTCAGATCAATTTCCTGGAAATGGCGTGGAGAACGCTGCCTTACTATAAATGCTTTTGCTAAGAAATGGCGATTGGATGAGTCAGTTAGCTAAAACCTACTTGTTGTTAGAAATTTGATGATTTCTAAATTAATGGCTTTGTTGTTGTTTGTTTGATGCCGATAGGGACCTGTCCTTGGATGGTTGAATTCAATAGAAGCTTTTCAGCAAACAAACACCAGTATTCCCATGAATTTGAAGGTATTTAGCCAGAGCCTTAGCGGAGGTTTATGGGAAATGCTCAATAAGCGAAAGCCGAAATATATAAGGGGAAGACCAACTTTAGAAAACAAGTCTTTACTTGTATGAAGCCAAATTTTACCCCAAGACACACTTGTGTCTTTCTTTGCACCGTGTGTGGGAAATTGAGAGGATTAGTTAACTTGCTGGCTTAAAATTTTTGCGGAAAAAGGTGTTCCAGTTTTATTCAATTCAATAGAAACACTTGCGTTGATCCTGAAATGTTTTGCACGTGAAGATACTCATAGTAATTTTCACTGAAAATTAATGTTAGCGGCTGATACTCCAAAATTTATATTTTGTTCACATGGAAGTTCCTTTTCCCATGAGATATCAACCGTTTTACTCGACACCAGTCATCTAATACTCATATCACCACCATTTTGATTCTGGTTACTACCATTATAGTGCTGCTACAAATAATAAGGAAAGAAATTATGTATATTACCATTTCTTTTTATTGATGTTCTAAGTAATGGTAGAAAAACGGTTGCCACTTGAAGTGCCAGGCTAATTACTAGTATTTTGAAGTTTCTACGATGGCAGTTCTAATACAAGGATAGTTTATATTGTACGAGTATGCATGTTACTTTCATTAAAATTATTCGTTTTGTAATAAGTTTCTTTCGTGTTTCAGTTTGTGCTTGAAGGTATGGAAGAAAGTGGAAGTACCGGTTTGGCCGAACTTATCGAGGAGGAAAAAGATCTGTTTTTCGGGGTTAGTTTCAGGATACAATGCCCAATAATATCATCAAGTTATTGCTTCATACCCTAACTTTTCAGAATGTTGATTTCATTGCTATATCCGACAACTATTGGCTTGGTACTTCAAAACCTTGTTTGACCTATGGTCTTCGGTAAGTTAGACATTTCCAACATTTGTCGATAGGCTTGTAAACCAGATGATGGCTTAAAATTACTCACCACAAATGACGACACATAACTTTGTTTAAAACAAACAGCTACGACTATCATTTGAATCACACTGCTCCTTACTTGTCTCGGAGGTGAGCCTGGGGAGAGTTACTATGAACGAAATACAGTTTGCTATTGCAATCATAATCCCACGATCAGCAACGTATCTAGCTTGCACCCTTGATCACGCTATGTACATTTCAAGTCAATAGCCCTTATTTATTTTTAAAAATCCACTGTTTTTACAAAGTATACACACCAAAATATTTACATAGCTGTGACAAATTTGAGAAGTAAAGTGTGTCTGTCATACAAATCATATATTTACAATACCTATTGCAAACCAGATAAGTGCTAGCCAATTGCCATTTGCTCTCATAAAAAACACAGTTTTCTATTGTAGTCTTGAGCCGGCAATCCTATACTCACCGCACGCTATTTGCCATTACGTGTACAACTTGCTATTGTTGCTTCATTCTCACTCGAATTTCATTAACGCAATCCATACACCCGAAACCATGACAACGCATCTTATACCATCCAATAATATCAACTCAACTACTAACCAACCAATCAGACGCTCCAAACGCCTACAAAATCTTTGTAAATAATATATTCTTACATTCTGACAAAGGCTCGAAGCACCGAGTTGAAAGCTTAATAAAATTTTCAAAATAAAAATCCAGAGAATCCTTAATATTATTATATATATATATATATACAAAGTGTATATACAATGTGCCCTCCTGGCTACCACCATAGTGAAATGGTGACTCCTGCACTTGGGACACAGGACGTACGGTTAAATAAAGTGTATAATATGCAATTTGTCTATTGTGCAATGATGTTCACCGCTGTACGTTAATATTGAAAGTTCATCTGTCCAGCGGTTTTTTGTTTGTGTTCTCTAGAGGTATCATTTATTTCCATGTCAAAGTGAATTGTGCCGATAGTGATTTACATTCTGGAAGCCATGGTGGACCTGTGTAAGTTGTTCGAAGGAATGAGTACATAATTCTCGTTATGGTTACAAATGTTTGTTAGAGAGTGGATCCTAGTGGAACGATGCACGTGTGTGTTCAAATAGCCTTGAGGGTCAGGCACTGGCGTCAATCTTACATTAAACGGGGGAGCCATATTCATATATTCTGCTATGTTTGGCTAGTTTCTTTTCAAGATGATTTCACTTTCAAAAAAAATCAACATGGTGTAGCAGAATTTTCGAATATGGAACCCTCGATTAACTTTGGATTGTTGCCCATGGGGTCATGCTTAAAACAGATTTTGTTCAATAATTTAGGTATGAAGCAATGTCGGACGTGGTTGCAATGTTTTCCACGTTAATTGATGAAAAGGGAAACATCTTGATCCCACATGTGAACGATTCGGTTCGTGAATTGACTCCCGAAGAGGATGCCCTCTACTATGGTTTGGATTTTGACATGGTACTTATGTTTGCATGTGAACTATTGCATTGAATTCATGCAATTGATGGCTCTTAGTACTTTAATGAAAAGAGGATGCCAGCTTTGACTTGTTAGAATGACCTTCAAATTTATGTCAGTATGTCACTTCCATCGAAACGTTTTTCTTTTTTATCCCGTTCAAGTCCTCATAGCCATCTGTGTTTTGTCCATTTCCTTAGCCAGTCGATTTATAGGAAAGCTGTTTATTTTTATGCATGATCTCCAAAAGGAACTAGATCCTTCACACTTCGCAGAGGAAAACTGCGACACGGTGCTGATTGTACGTAGAATTTTGAAGTAAAGAACATTTTCAATCCTTGAAGCATCCAAACAAGCACATGCTTCATGCGATACGGCCCTCTAATAAAACCCCGAAAGATTATCACTTAAACTCTCGTGTTTGCTTTTCATATTAATTTAACGTCGATCATCCATTCATGCGTATTGCATATTTGTTTCATTAGAATGTGTATCAAGAAGAAATTGGTGTTCACGGGCTCACAACTTCCGATGAAAAAAATACACTCATGCGACGTTGGAGATATCCATCTTTATCCATTCATGGTGAATATAAATAATATACATGCTACTAAACAATCGCGTTTGAAAATAAAATTGCTACCAGCAATTGCATTTCAACAATTGCAACTTTCAAATTTCAATTTTCAACGAACTTTCAAAATGAAATTGCTACTTGCATTTTACGATTTAGTTTAGTTTGTCATTATACTTAATGACATAATTCATCTTTATAAATACTTCAACTTATCTTTTATCTCTCTATATAGCTACAGTTGTTTTATTGATTTGTGATTTATTCAATCTTTTATTTATTCATTCATGGCGCTGACATTTTCAGAAAGTGAGGACATTTTAACGCATGAAACGGTGGTTATTTGTAAGGAGGACGTTTAAAATCATGCATCGTTGTTTTGCGATTTCGATTTAAACGGCTTCATGTGTTCAATGAGTTTGTATAAATATCGTAAGAGTTAAGAATTAGCAATATATGAAATGACCATACACGCTGTTCAGTACACAGAAACTTAAACTTTGTGATTTTAAAACCTACTTTCGGTCCGAGATCTTATTAATAATGTGAAGACTGTTTTCATAACTACTTTTTTAACGTCACTGAATTATTTTGTCAAATGCAGCATGAACACGTTGTTTGTTTTTTTTCTCAAATCTTTCTTGAAGAATCGGTCTTGTACGGTTTTAACAATTGTCGATATGGTTGTACTCAATAAGTCGAAAATTTCATCATCCCATTGACGCTCATACTCATGTTTTTCGCGTTCGTCAATCATTTTATTTCGTTGTAGGATTTGAAGGTGCGTTTTATGGCCCTGGTGACAAAACCGTCATTCCACATGAGGTAATGTTGTTTTTGTTGTTGTTTTTGTTGCTGTTTTTGTTGTGCTTGTTGTCGTTGTTGTTGTTGTTACATGTTTATTCATATATTGTCTTCATTTCACATTGTTTTATTTAAAGGTGACAGGAAAGTTCTCAATTCGCCTTGTGCCTGATCAAGAACCGGAAGATATTGGACAGTTAGTCATCAATCATCTTAACTATGTTCACAGTCAAAGAGGAAGTCCAAATATCATGACGTAAGTACACGGTTGCTTTGATGAAAACCAAAAAACTCAAACAAGCTTTCATTCCGTTTTCAGTTTACATCGACTTGTTATTTTACTCATTTAGTCCGACTTACTCGAGCGGAGCCTCTCGTGCTTGGCTTGGAAGATTCGAGAACCCAGTGTTTGAAGCTGGAAATTTAGCTACATTGGATGGTATGCTCTAAATCAAAAGTATAAGACACATGGTTGCAAATGCCAGCCATTCTGAACTTAGTGTCACGCGCTATACGTTTTGTGAAATTCCTCATTATCTTTTTTTGTAAAAAGCATTGAGCACCTGTAAAGTTCGACTTTTGAAATGAGGCTTGATAATTTCGATTTAATTGTTTGTTATCTCGATAATTTCTGATTATTATAACGACATGGCACAATTGCGAAAGTCGCGCTTCATAAACTGCAGCTAAATCATTAACCAGCCATTCACAATTTCTTGGATTATAAGCAAGGCTCGTGCAGGTGCTTAAAGTCCTTGAAAAGTAATTAAAATAAAAGATCAATTTTAAAGGCACTTAAGCAGTTCTTATTAAATAGGAATTGAAGAAAGTCCTTGAAGAACTCTCATTAATAATAAAAATATGATGGAATCAGCTCCGCAGTGTGCAGATATAACTGGAAAAGTTATAAGTTTTAAGTTACTAAATTTGGAAAGAACTCTGTCTTTGTGATTATACAAATTGGAAGCCAAAAAACCCTACCCTACTGAAGCTGAAACGACACGATTGTCTAAATATATAGTATATATTCGACTCATGAAAATTTTAGAAGGGCCATAGCACAAAGTGTTGAGTAAATTTAAAACTGTGCCTATGAAATTGGATTGTTGTGCTTAAAAATCGCGAAGAAATCATTATTTTTTTTCACTTGAGCACCAAGACTTGTAAAATCATAGAACATATCGAGCAGCAATCAGGAACGTAACAAAAACGTTAAATGGGGTGTGTATATTCATGCATTCAGTTGTGCCCCACTGACTCCCTTTGAAAGTGAATTTGCTTTCAGGAGAAATTATTTGGGCATAACTGAATATGTAAATATACATACCTCACCCCTACCACGAATAACGGTCTATTTACGCCTCTGGTTACAATGCTTGGATTTGGTGCCAAAAAAAGAATGGAACTTGTCTCCTTTTTTCATGTGATTTGGTCAATCAGATGACAAGTGTCTTTTTATTCCAGTCCATAACGTCGAGCCTGACTACACCCGCGAGGGAGGCAGCATTCCAGTCGTTATAACACTCTATGAGACTACTGGCAAGGACTGCGTGCTTATACCAATGGGAAGGTCTGATGATGGCCCTCATTCTCAGAATGAAAAGTTGAACATTACAAATTTTCAAGCTGGTGTAAGTTTGGGAATGTTTTAAGTGATTTTCAAATCTTATTCGTTCGTCCACCGACGCCATGTTGTTTTGCTTGTTGATTGCCATGGGAACATGCTGACGTCATATCTAACATGATTTGCGCTTCTTCAGTTGGCACAAACTTGCTTGTGATATACTTACTTAATAGGCAGTGCTCAAAATATAGTGAATGCCTTTCACCGGAGAGAGCGTTAACTATTTGAATAAATTCACAATACCTACTCACTCAAACTGTTCTATCTTTTTTTAAGATGAAGTTGTTTGCTGCCTATATCAAACGTCTTGACGAGTTGACCAGAGGTACAGGAAGGCAGGCGAGGCAGACAAGCAAGATCTGAATCAGTAATGCAACACATGATTAATAGTCGTTTTCTAATGATTTGCTTTAACAATAATTCTAGATTGCACATGAAGACATTGAATATTTAACTCTTTAATTGAAGTATTATCCATGATCATGTATGATATTCTTATATAATAAAGAATTGTCACTGGTCAAATGTTGTCATCAACTACATCACAGACTCTTGAAAGGAATATAACTTTGAACGCTACCTTTCCCTGTAATTTGGAAGCGGCTTCTTCTCAGAAAGCAATGCAAAAAATTCTTGTTTTCATAGTCACAAATCGTTTGGAAATGTTGAATGAAAGGTCTATTTCTTTAACAAAAGAAAACGTACAAACCTCGCGTAAGTATTTTCATGATCGCGATAAAGAATTCGCTCTTAATAGTTAAAGATATGAATATAATAAGCACAAACTTATACATATAATGTGGTTGATGGCGTTTCTTTCCCAAATTGTTTTTGTGTGAAAACAAATTCCCTTTATACATGCAGTTACAATCACAAATTTCTAACTGAAAACCATCCAGTAGACAAAAACTTTATCAAATTCTTTTCGTATAACACAACCAAAACAAGTCAAAAAGATTTGTTTTCTAAACAACACGAGTGTGAATTACGAATGAAGGCAAAATTTGCGGAACACCACCAGTGGTCACGCGCGCATCTCCTGAGGTTATCTCTCGCAAATTTTGGCTTCATCCAAACAATCAAAAGGTCACACTCCAGTTATACTCATTTCAATAGCACAGAGACACAAAGACGTCACACAATTTCAGTTGATCAATTTTGCTTGTTATGGTCACACTCTCATATTCAGAAGGAAAAAGAATGAATATAGAAAACAGAAGGCATTTATTCAATAATCGTAAAGTACTTGTCGTTGAAAGGGTCAAGCTGTTTCTGATAAGAATTTTCTGCTGTTTAACTTTCTTGCGCAAACGACGTGACAACAAGGAAAAGAGTTGACTTCTATTCAAATTCAAATTTTTGTGTTCATGAACGGAACACAATCAAAAATCGTAGCATTTTCAATGTGTGAGTGTGGACTTGGGGATTGTTGAGAAGGAGGAGTGGTCTAAATACTCACCTTTTGCCATGATACTACGTCATAACTTTGCTCATGGACATTTTTGCTATCCCACACTCACGTTATTATTACGAGTTGTTTGTTTTGCTTTCTATAGTCTCCGAAAAATCCGTGATAATTAACACTGTTTCTACTTAACTATTTCTTCTCAGAAGATAACAAACAGGCAGACGAGGTTAGTCAAACAATTCATCATAATCACTGGGAGATTTTCTGCGGATATTCATTGCGGATTATCATAGCATGCACGGGATGTGCATTTGCTGTCCGCTTAAGTTGAAATGCGGCGTACACATAGAGCTAAAATATGAAAGAAATTGTTTACAATTTCGAAGTCTCTTCACACGGAATTATTAAAATCATTTCCGGATTTAAGCTTCAACTAATTTCAAGACGGTATTTTTTTACTTGAGCCAAATATAATCTGTCCCCATGATTATAAATATATTCCATCTCATGACAGCAAGTTAAACATGAAATTTATTTCGACGCCATAATAACTAGATTAAAGTCCCAGAAAAAGCTGGTAAATTTTCATAGCATCTTGTATCAAGTTATAAGTGATATTTATGACGTCATTGCGTGGTTGTCCATTTAAACAACGATGTATCCAGCCTGAAAATTGATCAATGCTACGCAAATTTCGAATCATTGGCGTTTTTTATTTTTTCTTTAGAAATTTTTTGTTTCTACAATGAATACCCAAGTATTTAAATTTCATGACTAGACTTGCGCGCTAACTACGCCATTGTATACTGAAACGATGCTACAACTACAACTTTTACTCCGATTTTTGTCGACATACGTTTGTTTACATTCTTTTGCATTTTATTATTGGCAAGTACAGCTCATTACCTATTCAACAAATTCAACACTCATAAAACAGCTGCTTCTGAAAGTTGCGCGTTTCTTCTAGAATTAGACTTTGCCAAAGTCCTCTTTCAACAAAGGTTTGACAAAAACGGAAAGACGCTCTATTGATTTGAGCATATTATGTCACAGACCAAAAAGAGCTGGACAAATATGCGAATCGGTATTGTGAGCAATAAAGATTTTTTACAATACTGCATGGTAAAGACGATTTCGTGTAGCAATCGATTTCCTGGAATAAATCTAAACGATAAAAAATCTCTTCATTTTCTTTTTACCATCGCTCATCTAGACCCCAAAATTCGCAAAATTTGTCGATTATTTTGCCTTTGTAATGCGACTTAGATTTTTTTGGTGTTGTGCAACTACTCTCCTTCTGTTGATGGCCGTTTTCTTTGCAAAACAGCAAGTTTATTCAAGTAGAAGAACTTAAAAGTATTATTACGTCAAAATGTAAATAAAGTTATAACGTGGAATTATATTGGTTTTGGGTGCGTTTGCATCGACTCTGAAAGTGTGTGCTGCTAACATATTTTTGTAATTTAAAGTCAGGGTTTAAATTGCAGAGCCAGCCAATAAGAACGTTTCATATGCTTCACGCAATGAAACCTTCTGACGTAAATCATGAGAGCTCTTCTTTAAAATAACCAAAAGCATGGACATTTCATTGATGCAATTTCACGAGAATGAAAGGCGATAAAACTGTTGCTGTTATTGGTGGAGGAGCTGGTGGCTGTGGGTCAAGTCTCGCTTTGGCCGAAAGAGGTTGGAAAGTTCATCTTTTTGAGAAAAACACCATTTTCTCGGGAACCAGTGGCATAACGTGCGGACGTCTTGGTCTTGGTTTTCATTACATTGATCTTGAAACGTCGCTGAAGCTGATGCGCGCAACAATACGCCTAGTCAAAACATTTCCCGGTCATTTTGTCGGTGAGGATTTTCCGTCATCGCACCCAATTCGTCGCGGTCGTTATTTTATAACAAATGATTCGCTTGCCTCTCCGCATGATATTCTGGAGGTAATGATGCTTCAATTTGCAAAACAAGGACAAGGCAGACCAAAACTGAAAAAAATTTCTTATGTGGGAAAATATTTTGCGATTACCTTTAGAACGTTTTTTACACTTCATGCCGTTGGCGTTACTTGTCGTTGTTTTATTAAGATATCAAATTTCCTCCTTTGACACACACACACTAAATGGTTGATTGTCGAATCAGTCGAATGCATTAATTGACGTAATGCAATTTTTCTTTCATTTCCAATTGTGAATCCCGGACAAAATTGCTTATTATAGAATGTTTCATTTTTTTACTTTCTTTATTCCTTTGTGCATTTATCCATTTTAAAATCGATCATTAGAAAATTGATTGCATACTGAATAGTAGATGCAAATCAAAAACTTGAGCGCTAATCAAGTTTCCAAATACACTATAACAACACTTCTTTTTGTACAATTGAAGCACGAATCTAAGAAGCTAAACACAAAAATATTTCATAAATCTAATAAAACTACAAACAAAATACTTCATTAACGCTTGCAGCAAACATGCACATTGTAAAATTGCCCAGTAAAATGTCCTTCCAATTCAGAGTTACTAGTTACCCAAATTCTTCTGAACAAAAATGTTCTGGTAATATAGTGTTGTTTCCCGGGGAAAATTGTTCCTGCAAAAACTTGCGTGAGAGCCACCCTTACCAAAGCAATAATTCTATGATGTCATTTATTCAGCTTTATGAATCTCTGAAGCAAGCTTATTCAGATATGGTCGACGAAGATCCATCAAACATGGTGTTTGGCCTACCGAAAGATTTCTATCGTATTCTTGACAAGGAGGAATATGTTGATGATGTCGATGTAAGCAAGGTTGTCGTTGGAATTGAAACCTCCGAACATCTTCTGGACTGTAAGAAATTTCAAACAAGTTTGGAGTCGCGCTTAAGAAACCACAACAACATCACAATCCATGAATTCACCAAACTTGTTGACATTGAAAGACTTATTGACGATAAGAAGTATCGATGGTCTTTGATTTTCGACAAAAGTGATGGTAAACGATGTGTAAGTTTTTCATGTGACTACGTTGTCAACTCTACATGGTGTCAAATTGAGAAGTTCAACCGCATAGCAGGATTTCCAGAGCAATCCTTTCCTATAACGAATCGTTTAAAGGCGATCGTTGGCGTAAAGCTACCCGTCTCCATGTATGATTCTCACTCGATGTTTTTCTGTATCGGTCCATTTTGCATGTTTTCAAATCTCGGCGATGGTACCGCACTCATGACATACGCTCCTGTGACAAATATTACAACTTCAGATGGCACGACTGTCAACAAGAAAATGGCGCGATTAACAGAGCATGGAGCTACAGTAAACGAGTTCAGAAACATCACTAGTAACGTTGTAAACGGTGTTTCTACTTTCATCCCAGCGCTAAAGAACGCAGAAGTGATCAGTCTTGCATTTGGTATTGTCAAGACACAAGGAAGTGTTGATATTTATGATCTCAGTAGTCCATTTCACCGAAGAAGTTATTTCGCTGTGAGATCAGAAGGGGATGGATGGACTCTAATCCTTGCATGAAACTCGTGTATTTGCTTGAAAACGCCGACATTGTCGTTGATTTGTTGGAAAAAGAGTTTCCATGCTAATGGCTATATTGCGTTTTTTTTACATGTGTGATATATATGAATGTTTTTAAGTTTGAAAATTTGTAATCCAGGCATTGAATATATAAAAGACAACGAAGCAACGAGTCGAAAGCTCAATAAAAATCATTTAAAAAAATCCTGAGAAACTTTTATCTTTTATATGACTGTTTTTATACGAAATAAGAATCAAACTTCCTGATAAGTAAAATCATTGTCAGTTTGTTGCATTAAGGATTAAACATAGAACAGTAATGTAGAAAAAATGCTGTTGCAAAAAAACGCGAAATTGATCTTCAATTCATATTTTTAACTAAGCAAACTAAAAATTATTCGAAATATGAATTCCTTTCGGAGCAATACTCGTCGTGCAAATCTCGTAAGATTGTAGTGCAAAACGAACCTTAATTTTATGCAAATTCAACATATATAACCTATTCGTTGAAGAATGAAAGACATCTACATGTACACAAACAGTAGTTTCTCTGTTTCCAACTTCGTTTCTCCAAACATATACATGATACACATTAAGGTACGTTTTGCTCTATACACACTATACAGGCTAAAAGTTTATCGCCATCTTCATTAATCAAGAAAATAACAATGATAAACGAACATTTGTGTTTACACAAAACACAACGATAACCACAAATGATGGTAAATTTTAGCTACGACCATAACAATTTCACGCTGACACAAAACATGTTTAATTAACAAAGTTTCACAAGCGCTTTACTTTCTTAAAGAATGTCGCTTTTTGCTTTTAAAATGGCTGCAAATATTTTGACCATTCGGTGTAGTAGACGATTTTGAAAATGCCTTACTCATACATGCATGTGTATGATAAACAAAATAATGGCAAAAAGTTTACGCAAAGGACGTGTCAATCTACTGACCACATGCAGCGTGGTCAATCTACTGACCAACTAACTGACCACAGTCTACGCACTAGTGGTTAGTCCTACGTCACTGTACGATTACTTATAAGGACAGAAACGAAAAGCTTTAGGCATGTTGGTGCTTAGTAGAAATCCGCAAAAATGCCACTAAATGAGATTAAAGTAAAAGAAATCTTAAAATGTTTATCCGAATTTTTAGTGTATTGAATAAATATTATAAAATTGATAACCTCTTTTCCACAAAGTCTTAGTCTTTTTATTACGAGCATTTGAACCAAAAGCGGTCATTTTATTACTAAACAGGACGTTCGTAACAAGATACAAAGTTGCTTGTTGTTTTGCTATTTATATCCGATCATTTTAAAACGCTATTGTTCACTCTTTTGGCCTGTAGTGTATTCATTTATCATCAGATAATGGAATGGTAGTAATGCTAACTAGTATGTGAGTAACAACTTTCCTTTACTGGAATTCGTTTACGGAATGCTGAAAACGAAGGTTGAAATCTACAATGACGAAGCAAGCTTATTTATTTATTTACTCATGCAATGTAATCATTTCCGTGCTCACTCATTGTAGAATCAACACATTTCTCGAGAAATAATTATTCATTATGATCTGAACACTGCAGAATTTGCTGGCTGGTTATACCACTGGAAATCCATTGATCAGGAAAGAACTTCTCAAAAAGTCATAAGCTATATAATCCCATTGAGACAACTTTGATAAGCTTACAGGTAATATGATTTTGTTTCTTCATTGCTCTCTAATCAAGTTGTCTCCATACGTGGTTGAAAGGCCAAAATCGAAACACACCATTGACATATTTACTAAAAATTTTGCTGAAAAATGGATGCGAAATTTCGTGGTTGCGTGTAATACTGGTGGGCTGATGAAGCTCTGTCAACACCTATCATAAATAGAAAATTTTTAAAATAAATGCTATTAAGAAGGAATCTTCCCCACACCATGCAATAAAATGATACATTTACCTATAAACAACTAATCGAAATATGAACTGGATTAAGAATAATACTCGTTCAGAATGCTTAGTAGAACTACCACATGTCATAGTATGTTTTGTGTATAAGTATGATATAATTAACTGTTTTGATGCATTTATTATCAAGTAATGGAGTTGTATTATGGTAATCATACGAACGAATCCAACATTTTCCCCTTGTATCAAATGCAGAAAATAAACGCCGAAATCTGTTGATCAAGAAAAGAAGTTGCAAATGAAATGGTCGTATGTCAACGGTGCATGATTATATAATGAATGCGATTCTTCAAATTCAAAGGTAATTGGATTTTATGGTTGGTGAATTCATTCTGACGGTTCATTCTTCTTTGCTCTCTAATCAAGTTGTCTCGTATGCAGTTGAATAGCCGAAACTGAAACACATTAACGTATATATGTTGACAAATAGCATAGAATAGAGAATATATAGAAGGGCAACTCGCAGGTGAAACGCGTGGCATATTTTCTGTGCGCATGCGTTAGGTCCGCCATTTCTCTGGCCAGTAACTTGACGCTGGCGTACTATAAAATAATATTGGAAAAGTGCGATTTTGGGGTAATAATCGCCTAAAACGCAAACTGTTTTGGAAGATCATGGAATTTTGTTACAAAACGTGAAAGAAATAAGGTGAGAGACCATTATTTAATTGCTGGCAAGTCCGTAAAGTTTTTTTATTGGTAAAAATTACATGTTTCAATGAAGGGTGTTTATTTTACTGCTGTAGAGTTGTCAGTATGTTAGGTGAATAGAAGTCCAGAAGTAAAATCTCTTGCGTTTCCATCCATTCAGAATTATAAATTTCAAACTTTTGAGGTGTTATTATAAATGTACTATTTAAAACACAAGCTTGTCCGAGTTTTACTTGTACCAACGCTGTAATATTTCAGGTTGCAACTTGCCAACTTGCTAAACTATAAATCAAGTTAATCAACCTGCTAACCAAGTAATCCAATAATGATTCATGATGCTTGTGTGTGAATTATAACTGATAATAATTTCCAACATTCAGTTTCAAACCATGGAGGGTTTGTTTATCATTTTAAGCATGAGTGAAATGTTAGTATGTTAATAGTTGGGCATTTTTAATACCAAATGTAGTTTTAGTGAGGTATACACTCTGTTTGCCTTATTTATAAATTTTGCCTTGCTGTGATTTGTGCTCTAATAAATTTATTACCAATAGTTATGATTGATTTTCTGATATTTTTTTCTAGTTGCTATTTTGGCATTCAGTTCTCAAGTGAGGATTATGTTGCAAGTGTCTTGTGTTATGTAGTTTTAGTATGTTGGATTAGATTTTAGTGGCTACTTGTTGCAGTAGCATGTTAAACTTTGTTTATTAAATTCTATTACGTTTTTATTATGATAGGGTGGTCTCTGTAAGGGTGCTCTATTAAACATTGATCACAATTTCTTCAGCTTAATTGTTTAGTATACCAATATTTATAGAGAAATTAGCATTTCTTCTGCACCCCCATCTAGCTTAAGCTAGAAGGGCTGCACACCCCATGTTTTTAGCCTTGTAACCATTAAGAAAATATAATATTTATTATATTGCTGTTATTTTGTACATATGTTTCTCTTAAAATTGTCTTTATCAAAATAAGTTTCCAATGTTATTCAATTCTCAAATCACCCAAAGCATTGTATATTGGGTTTGCTGTGGATCTTTCTCAGGTGTGCGTCTCTATTGCAACTTTTTGATTCGAGATTATAAAGCTGTACATTTTCCATTTTTGGTACTATTCGTCGCCAGGGAGGCAATAGTGATAACCCCACTCCAACCCAATTTATGCAAGCATTTAGAAAGCTTTTCTTCAGTTCCCTTCTAACCTGTTCATCTGGAAATTGTGACAACGACCTTGATTCTATGCTGGTTGAGTATTCCAAAAATGTTGCAAAGAATAAAGTCAGCCAGAAGAAAACGGTTCAAGTCTTTCCACCTCCGCAACCACAAATTTTATCAATTGTTCCTACTGACTGCAAGGAGCCAAATGTTGTTACTAACATAATGAGTGAAAATGCCATTTCACATGTGTCTGGTTTTCTTCTAATGAAGAGTTTCCACACTTGTCTGAAATGCACCAATGCTCTTTCATCTACAGAACTGGATGATAGCAGAAAGTTATTCTGCCACTTTAAAGCATTCGATGAAAAGAAATCTGATTTAAGAGGACTACAATCACCATCTTCTCCTTATCTGGAATACATCATCAAACTTGAAGACACATTTATTAAGACGTTTTCTGTCTACACAAAGAGCGATGGTGTTGGTCGAAGTATATTAGACACCGTCAAGTCAATACCAAAGGAATTTGATTGCTGTACGGAATTCCCATTTGAGTTCTTGCAGAAACTTTTTGTAAGAATACGCATTTATTACGCCATAAAATTTGCGAACCGCATACTCGCAACAACTAAAAAGAAAGACAGAAAGTACATTAAAGTCACACACCTTTGAGGGCTTTGTGCATATAATTTTTTGTCCTTTATAAAACTAAATTGAAAACAAAAGCTTTTTATATCACAATAATATATTTAACATGTAATACATCCAAGTTCATTTAAGTCCTCAGGACTTGTGAACCTCAGAACCTGTTCAAGCTTTCCGACTGAATTTCGCTATAAATATATTAAATAAATGCATTTGTTACATGATATATACAAAATATTTGCCTTTTTATTTCAATTTCTTTCAAAAAGATGCCAAAAACAGCCAACAGCTCAAAAAATCTACATTTTAACCCACTTTACGGCTTCCACTCCGTATATTTTCATAGTAAATGTTGTACACTTTACTGGCCAGAGTAATGGCGGCCGTCACATTTCCCGTATGCGCGAAACAAACTGCGCGCCACGCTTACATCAAAGGTTACCGACGCGAGTTGCCCTTCTATTATTCTCTATTCTATGCAAATAGTTACTTGAGCTTTCGCTTAATCAAACGTATACGCTGCAAATTCCATCATGTAAAACCATTGGTGGCCATTATACTTTTAATTTATCTTATTAGTAACGAGAAAATTATTGAAAATAATGCAGATTTCATGGAGTTTGGTAACTAATGCATTGTTTTAATCCAGACCCACAGATATTGGTGTATATAAAATTCTTCTTAAGCTTGATTTAATTAATAGAAAATATGTTGGATCAGTCTTGCATTTGCCATTGTCAAGAAACAACAATCACGGAGGTGTTTATATTTATGACCTCAGTAGTCCATTTCACCAACGAAGTTATTTCGTGTTGAGATAGGAAGACGTCGGGTGGATGTCAAACCTTTTTATGAAACTTGTGTATACTTGCTCGGAAATTGTAACACTGAAATTGTCGTGGATTTGGAGGAAGAACAATTTGAAAGCAATCGCAAAAAATACTTTTAGTTCATCTTTATTTTTAAGTGTTGGTGATGAAAGAAGTAATCGGTGTTGCTTAGTTTGCTCTAAGCAGAAAGAGACAAGAATAACTTAGCTATACTGACAATAACTGAGGGTTAGGTGGTCTCCTATCTTACAAAACTGATGAGGCCTATTATAGTTTTTTTTTTGTGTTCAGCAAATCGATGCTTTAAAAGAAAAATATCAAGCTTTCTGTCTAATCGGTTGTTCTGACAATTTTTAAGGAAGGCCATGCAGAGAATTGAGGATTGCCAATTTATGTGTTTGTTCTGTCAAGAATTGACTTCGTTCTTTAAAAAATATTTATAGCAGTTAATAACCAACTAAGCAAGGTTACATAGTAGCTAAGCTTATTGCATGACATTTTTTACTCTAAAACAAAACTTCCTTTCCATGCTGTTTTGTCATGGATGGCTTTCACTCCTGGTTTGTGTCGTCTGAATAGTATAAAGCACTTTCCGAATGCTCGTCTTCCAACATTCGTATAATAAATATTTCCTTTTTTATTTATAGAAGACTTTACGACAACAGACTTGTTTACGAGAAAAGAAGTGTTTGAAGCACAAGACTTCTTTCAATAAAGTGTCGAGAGAGAACGTGCATTCGACGGAAAAATTAACACAGAAATAGTCTATGTAGAATCTTTAATTTTCAGACTTCAGATGGTTTGTGATCAGGTTTACCTATTTACTTAAGTCTTCACTTTCAATAAATTTACTGTAAGTAAGACTGGTAGCCCTAAAAATATCACCCGTTCTATTCGACTGGAGCTTTCAGCACAACATTTGCTTTCTTTCTTTGACAATTTTTCCAAAAAATCAGAAGTTTTTTGTCCAGCAATCCATAGATAAGGGGATTAACTGCTTGTGTTGTTAACATTTTAAGCATTAGAATAATTTCGTTAAGCAATGGGATTGAATGGTTTCTCGCTGCTTGAACATATATTCCGACGGCGACAGAGATATTTCCAGTAAAGTAGAAGACGACTGTCATGATACAAACAAAAAATGCTTTGCGATTCCGGCGATATCTTTGTTTACCGAAGGAAGAGGTGACTGCATTCTGATCTTGTGGCATTTTAAAAATTTCACTTTGGTTATAAAGTACTCGAGCGATTTTATAGTAAGTTACGGCCAATAAAACTCCACTTAAACACATACTGAAGACAAGTATATAACCTTGTACATTGTACGTCAATATACGGTAACGGTTGTCCAAACAGCGTGGCAACACAACAGCGTAACCTGGTATAAATGATGCTATGTAAGCAATCACACAAACAGTTTTTAATCTTCGTTTGCTCATAGGAGGTTTCAGAGGATATGTAGTGGCACGATAACGAAGAACTGCAATAACCAACATCATAAAAACACCAGCTTCAGCAAACCAGTTTCTTGTTTCAATAACAAGACAAAATGCCTTATTATACGCAACGTCTCTGTTATAAAATGCGGTCATGGTGAACGCAGATTGTGGAACCAGGCACATGAGGTCACAAATGGCAAGATGTAGAACTAGAAAGCGGTAGTTGCTCGTCAACAAACTCCGTCGTCGTATTATCGAGATAATAACAAGAGAGTTGCCAATGATTCCAAACATGGCAACAGAAAAAGTAAGATTGACAATGATTGGATCCTTTTCGTATGCCATTATTTATTTTTTAGACAGTCAGGCTCCTGTTCTAATTGCACGAGTAAGTAAGAGAGTTAGTTTTTAATAGCATAATGAGCAGATGCATCGTACGAAGATAAGAAAACATGCTACTACTAATGAGATGACAGGTGAACAATTAAAGCACATTTATCGGGGAAAAGAATATGACCTCTTTGGATAATTAAATCGATTTTAGGAATATTTGCTGAACAATATATTTTATTAGGTATAAATGTTATTTTGATTGACTTAAAGCAGGAAGTGATGTACACAGGAGAATACATGCATTGAAGATATAGCTTTCACAATACAGGTTTATAGTGAACAATAAACTTTAAAAAGTAGAACTATTCTCATGCCATTTCCCACAAACATTCTCTAATATTATTTTGTGTTTGTACTTTACAAAGCAAGCGTGTTCTCCAATGTGCGTCCCTTCCGGCGTTGGGTGAACTACTCTTAGGCTCGAAAAGTCGTTTCAGATGTTTCCGACCTAATCAAATATATTGCAAATATTTTAAAAAATTATTTATTTATCCAAAGAAGTTATTCCCCTGACTGTGATATAGGCACTTTAAGACGATTTAATTGCTTTGTATTAGCTCTTAAATAAGCGTTCGTACTTTATTGCTATTGGTTTTACTTTGATAAAGTAAACAAGATTAAAGAAAATCACAAAATCATATTCACTAATCTAGTGATCATTTGAAACTTTTATGAACTGATTACGATTGAAACGCTACTGTTTTTTGCTTTCCCCGTATCGTATCGACGTCACGCCTAAAAATTGTAACTTAAAGAAATTTTAAATTCTGATTTGTGAATCGTTTAAGAATTTTGAATGCAGTTGAAACTGATTTTTATCCATCACAAAGAGCGTCGAAACCTATAAGGAAAGAAAATCGAGATGATAACTGATTTTGTACGAAGAAAGTTATTTTTAACCCACTATCGTCTTTGTTTGACACAAACACTTGTCTGAAAGATCAGTCTTCTGGGATGACGTCTCTATAAGAATCTTCTTCCGGAATCACAACGGCAGAGTGTACTCATTCCAAAATGAAAATAGAAGAATTGAAGCGACTTCATTCCATGATAGAACTATTTTTTAACTTATTTTAAAACATAGGAAATGTTGAGCTTTACTGCAGTTTGTTATTGCAAATCAATAGTTTCATTTTCTTATCTCTGTTCATGCTCGCATGCGGATTTTCATTTGGCATCAAAATGCATCCACGTGAAATGTACGTGCTATCCGCTTGCATCTGTAATCTGATGTGGCTAGCGATGTAGCAAATTGCCAAACGGCAATTGTGCTAACTAGAGATACAACGCTGCTTGTTGTCTTTCTAACTTATACCCCAGTCGCTTCTGTTCGTTTTGAAACAATACTAAAAGTGATCTTGCACTTTTGGCGTGTAGTGTATTCATTTATCATTCGGTAATTGAATTGTGATAGTCCAAACTATTGTATGAGTAAGATTTTTCTATGACTGAAATTCGCACGCAATACAGAAAACGAAGGCTGAAATGTACAATGACGTAGCCAGCCTATTTGTTTATTTACTCGTGCTATGGAAATATTTCCGTGTTCACTCATCGTAGAAACAACACATTTGTTGAGAAATATTTAATCCTTATGATCTGAAATTTTCATAGCACGAAAAAATTTGCGGGGTGGCTCCACTGCTGCAAATCTATTGGTCAGGAAAGAACTTTAACCAACGTTGACTATAAGTATACAAAAACTATTACCAACGTTGGCTTATACTCAAAATGTCATAGGCCAACGTTGATTATTGAATCCAACGGAGTAATTTTAACAAATTCAATACAAAGGTAATTGGATTTTCTTGCTGGTGAATTGCAGACACTTCATTAATTATTCATCGCTCTCTAATCAAGTTGTCTCTACAGGCAGTTAAATAGACAAAATTGAAACACATCTAATCCCTGCATGAAACGCGTGTATTTGCTCGAAAACGCCGATATTCTGGTGAAATTGTTAGAAAAAGAGTTTCCATGGAAGTGTATTGTTTTGTCAGTGACATATGACGGTTTTTATGTTCAATTTTACCAAAAAGATAAACAGAATTGTATTTTCGCAGTGGTGTACTAAATACAAATTACGTACTTTCTGATTAATGCGTCATATATGGTAAAAGAGCTGTTGTGCCGCGCCGAGTTGAATCCTGAACTAAGAGATCCCTAAGATGTCTGATTAAGTTACGGGATGTTCGATTATATTGTCTTTGAGGTGGTAGTTCGCTATTACACAAAAACCCGAAATTTAACCTTAATTCAATTTCTTACCTCGGCAATAGCTTAGTACACAATATAGAGTCAGAATTCGAGAAACTACCAGTAGCTGATCCAACGTCTTGCAATATACATTAAGACATCTCATCTTTTCGCAAAATTTTATTGTTTAGTAATTTATCAACAATGGCATTGTTTAGGTATTTTGAACCTAAAATCAGCTGCTGTAATTCCTCTTGCTAAACCTGAATCTGCGACAAGACTCTACCGGCATTCTCCCTTCCTGAATATTTATCATCAGATTTAAAGGAATTACTAAATAGATCTTGTACCCGCTAACCACTGAAAGATCCTTAAAAAAAATTGTCAGTCCACAGCATTTACACAAAATGTTCTGGAAACGCCATTCACGAACTCGCTCAGTTGGCAGTATATTACATCAGTGTTATTTATCTGTTTACATGAGTCTGCAAAGTCAGTTCTTTGTACAAGATTAGGTTCAATCAATGAGCAAGAGGAATAAAATCATCCAAGTGACAGGAAGGAATTTTTATTATATAACATTACAGTACAGAAAACGCTTTCATCTTTTTTAAGAGAAAATCAGCTTAAGGGAGTATAGACTGTGACGAATGCTAGATAAAAAAAGTTCTCGAATTTAATATAGAAAGAGGTTTGGAAAGATTGTATCTCAACGGTAATTATGTAATGATGAAAGTGAGGACTTTTAACAGGCTTAAACCAAATAAGAACTAAACTTTGACGTTAGTAGTTTCAGACACGTCACTCATTCTGCATCGATATGCAACCAAGTTGTCGTCATGCGTGGTTGGATTTATGGCAAAATTTCAACTGACCAACATATATTAATATACATTTACTCAAGCAATTTGCTCTACTGCTGCATTTGTTATCTTTAATGTAATGGTAATCGTCCAAAATACGTAACATGAGCACAAACGGAATTTTGCCCCTGTACAGTATACGCATAGCAGAAATTGAAACAGAAATTGAAATCTGCAGTTAATGTACTCCTGCTACGCAAATATTTCGGTATTATTTCAATAGATTTCTAAATGCTTTTGATTTCCATAGTACTACCAGAGTTTTGGGATGGATGTGTCACTGGTAATTTATTAATCAGTCAGAACTTCAGAAAAGGTCAAACATCAATGCATGGTGACTGTAAAATGATGCAATCGAGAAATCCTAACAAGCTGAATAGTAAAATTGATTGGATTTTGGTGTTGGTGAATTCTGGACAATTCATTCTTCGTTGCTCTCTAATAAAGTCCTCTCCGTACGTGGCTAAAATAGAAGCTAAAATTGAAACATAAACATATTTTATTATATATCTAATCGAGCTTTTGCTGCATGTAATAAAGATCCCTGCAAATTCCATGGTCGCGACACTTGCGTGAACCAGTAAACAATTATTGAATCAAAATGTCAAGCTGCTTATTGTGGGTACATAATGTTCTGTAAACGTCTTATTTAATGAATAAAAAATAACTCTAAAGAAATAATCCAATAATGTAAGCGTTAAAAGTGGGGAAAGTACGGCGCACCATTATACATTCAGCACTTCTTATTTTGGAAATATCGTTCCTATGGTTTCGATTAATTGAGGAAACTGTCGAGTATCACGGTTTGATATCATAAGTGGGTAAAAAACATGAACGACATTTATGTCAAATCGATTACAACAGTGAATAGACCCTTGTTTACTGTAAAAGAAACACACATTCGATTCCTCATAATTAGCAGACAACTCTTTAGATAAAATGTAGGTTAGAATTATTGCAAGAAGAAACTGATATTGATAGTACTTTTTTATGCTAACTAAGCTTTGCCAATCGTAGACTTAAGCACTCATAATGCACGAATCTAACACCCGTGAAGGCTACAAAATAAGAATGCTCAATGCCATTATCATACAAGTAGAGCAAAATATCTTAAATTTAAGGCGAATTAAAGTATGTGTCTATCAAGTTCAATAAACGCTCAGTCGTTTTAAGATGCCTACACAGAAATGTAATGCCAACAACCATATTGCATTATTTTAAGCCTGTGGCCAACACATAACGCATTCCTCACTAAAAGCATGCAGGCATCATTTCAAAGTGTTATGCACATTTTTTATGTGGAAATTGATAAATTTGCATGTAATCTTATTAATAAAGTAAAGGGTTTGAACCCGGGAGTATCGTTACATGTTTGTAAATGTAGATCGTCCAGTTTGGTATAGTCCTGTGAAGGACTGATTTTGTTGTTGTTGACTGACGTTTCGACAACCTTAGCGGTAGTCATCTTCAGAGTCAAATGTTCTTTGACTCCGAAATGTTCTTTTGCATGTAATCTAATTAAAGTTGTTTGCTGTTTTTATGATATATAGTATCAGCAAATTCCATGTAATAATGTTGACAAGGCTTGTCGTCAAGTAACAGGAAATGACGATGAAAGATTATTGATATTTATGAGAACCAGAAGCAGGATTCAGCTACTACACTTTTTCTACTGTTGGATGAATCGCTGCGTCTTCCCACCTGCTCTTGATAAACTATATAAATATATCCGGGTATGTTGTATATGTGACTTTAATATCTTTTTTTCAAAATCTACGTATCTTTTCAGTTGATGTTTAAGAATGTATATAGTTAGCAATGTAGCACACTAAAACACAGCGATATGTGATGATATAGATGGCACATCATTTTGGTGAATGAAAGTGTGTAATGTCTCATTATCCGCAATTCAAACAGGTTTACTTAAATAATTAGTTAATCATCGAAGATATGTTTCAGCAAGAATTGCTAACTACAAGCTACTTTAAATTTCTTTATGAATATAGTATTGTATCATTAAATCGCGAATTAATGATTCACAAAAGATCACATTTGTGCAATTATGAAATCAATTCAGGTCACGACTAATCACAAAGCGTTCGTCGTTTACTGTTTGCTAATTTCCATATCTATGGGGGGAATAATGCCCTAGGTCCAGGTAATTCATCCTAGCTTCGTTGACACCTTTACTGTTATTTCGACAAATGGTGATACCTCAGCACAGGTGGCGATTTAGTCCATTAACTATTGTGTCGAATTAACATCCATAGAAAAACATCGCAATTTTTCATGAGAAAATTTCGCTTTTTATATTTGGGGGAAATATTTTTTCGGCTGCAACTGCATTTTCTTGCTATTATTTACTTTGTATTTGTCAATTGAGAACACGAGATGTTTGTTTTGTTGACAAACAGTGAGAGTTGGTTGGTGTTTGATAGGGATGTTGAAGCAAGTGATGTTAACATGATACAATATAACATAAAGTATTTCATTTGTTAAAGTTAATGTTAATTCAGTTCATTAGATACAGATCAGTGGACACGTGACAATCGTACGATCTTACATACTTCCTACACATGTACATATATATATTGTTGTTGTAAAATCAATACGAATCTTCTTTGAATAAAGTTCATAATCTAACAGGTTATGGGCCCAGGAAGCTCAGAAGTAGCCCAGATAGCAAAGGAATAGCCCAGAAAAAGCTCAGAAATAGTACAGAAATAGTACAAGACCGTATTTATGGATAGTCAAACAATAAAGTGGCTTGTGTTCGATGGAACAGCCGAGAACTATCCGGCATGGAGCACAAAGTTTACTGCATATATGCAAACGAAAGGTTTGTACAAAGCTCTCATTGGGAGAGAAGTCATACCTCAAGAAGTTACACCGTTAACAGTCGACGCTACAAGTGAGCAAAGGGCCGAATGGGAAACAAAAGTACGCGAGAGAAATCAACAAATTGATGAAATCAAAGAAAGAAACAACACGGTATGGTGTCATATTGCATTAGCTCTTGACAACAACAGCCTTTTATACATACGACATGACTGCTTGTCGCCAGATGGTGTCGGAGACGGAGCAAAAGCGTGGCGTCTACTGCAACAAAGATTTTCTAACGTAGAAAACCAACTGTAGTAAGTCTAGTTCGACAAATATCTCGATTACAATTAGGTGAAAGTGAAAAGTTATCCGAATACTTCATACGATCACAAGAATTAATGTCTCGACTCACTGAAGCCGGAGAAAATATATCAGAAACATTATTTAATGCTCTAGTCATTAATGGACTTCCAGAAAAATTTGAACACTTCGTGGTTCAAGAAAGTTTCAACCCAGCAGCTAACTTCTCAGAACTGAGAACTCGACTACAGAATTACGAGGATAGTCGGATCCAAAGAAACCAAGGAGAAGATAGCGCAATAGCAATGCATTCTGGAAATGCATCAGGCAAAACAAAGCCCCAATCAAGCAAAAAGGAACTTGTTATGTTTGTGGACTCCCTGGTCATTTTGCCAAGCAATGTAGTAAAAGAAGTTCAGCTTTCTGTTCAAAGTGCAAGAAAAAGGGACATCTATCAAGAGCATGTAGGAGTCAGAGTAAAACCGAAGAACCTTCAACAAGAGGACCAAATTCATTCTCATCATACTCTCAATGCATGAACAGTGGCACTGAAATAAATAGTGACAGTAGAAGATTGAATTATATCATCATTGATACCGGTTGCACAGATCACATCATTACAAAAAAGGAACTATTCGACAACTTAAAACCATGCAATACTAAAAATGTTAAGGATCCAAAGGGAAAATTAACACCTATCGAAGGCATTGGTGACGTACCAGTAAAGCTTTTACTGAACGATGGAGAAGAAGTAGAGATGGTACTGCGAAATGTCCTTTATGTGCCAAATTATGAAGTCAACCTACTCTCTGTCAACCGAGCTGTCAAATTTGGACATAAGTTCGTATTCAAAGAGTGTGAAGCAAAGTTGATGTTAAATCATGGTCCAGAAATTGCCCTAACCAAAAATGCAGGTTTATTTTATCTAGAGATCGTATTCCAAAGATCCAGTTCCTGTAATTCCATTACAAGCAACCAGAATAAAAGAGAAATGAAAGGAGATTTTCAACTGTGGCATCAACGCCTCGGACATTTGAACAAAGATGATGTCAAACGCACAGTTAACTGCGAAGACAAATTAAGGAAAGTGTGTGAAACATGCGCTCTTGGAAAGCAATCATGCAAACCTGTACCTAAAGAAGCCCACAATAAGTCCCAGAAACCACGCGAATTGGTATACACAGATATTCTTGGTCCATTTGAAGTGCCTAGCCTCAGTGGATGCAGATATGCAATTACCTTTGTGGACGAATACTCGAAGTATGCAATCGTTAAATTCATGAGCAAGAAAGCACAAGCATTCGAAAAATTTAAAGAGTACGTAGCAGAATCAGGATTACCTCGAAAATTGAGAAGCGATAATGGAGCAGAGTATACATCGAAGCAATTCAAAGCTTACTGCATAGAATCAAAAATAAAGCAGGAATTTACAGTACCCGAAACCCCGCAACAAAATGGAGTTGCCGAACGCTATAATCGAACTCTAGTTGAAATGGGACGATGTCTATTAATCCAAGCACAGTTACCAAAACGTTATTGGGTAAGAGCCTTATCCACAGCATCTCATATCAGAAATCTCACCGTTACTGCCAACAGCGAACAAGGTAAAAGTCCTTTCGAGCTATTCACCGAAAAAACCCCAAGATTAAATCATCTACGCACTTTTGGCTGCACAGCATACGTCATGAAAAGGAAGATCAACCTAAAGAAATTGGATTCAAGATCTGTGAAAGCAAAATTTATTGGTTACGATGACAAAAGCACAGCTTACATCCTGCAAGAATTCGAATCAATGAAAGTCATCAAAGCACGCAATGTTGTCTTCAAAGAAAGTGAAATTCAACCTTTTTCAGCAAAAGATACGATAAATCCAGAACAACCAAATCTTATGAGCCCCAACATGGATTTCGACGATGATCGTTCGAAAGATGAGAAAACAAAGGAACCGATTCAAGATGAAGTGGGGGAAAATAATGCACCGATACCTGCTGTTCAACATCAGCAAGAAGATGAAGAAAATCCAGAGGAAGAAATCTCGCTTCCTAGAGAAAGCAGAAATCGGCGGCCACCAGAAAGGTATGGATTATACTATACGTTCAACACAACTAATGAAGAAAGTGTACAAGAACCCAAGTCTTATCATGAAGCAATTAATACACCGCATGCTGAAAACTGGAGAAAAGCGATGAAAGCAGAATATGATTCACTAATGGACAATAACACATGGACAATAGTGAACGAACCAGAGAATGTGCAAGTCTTACCAGGAAAATGGGTATATAAAGTAAAGTATGGAGCAGATGGTCAAATCGACAAATATAAAGCAAGATATGTAGCCAAGGGTTATGCTCAAGTCGAAGGCTTAGACTTTTTCGATACTTACGCTCCAACATGTAAACCCGAAACTTTTCGAATCCTGCTCGCAATGACAGCACAAAAAGGTCTACATATTGGCCAGATGGATGTTAAATCAGCATACCTTCACTCCAACATAGAAGAAGAAATTTATCTAGAACAACCAGAAGGTTTTACCAAGAAAGCAAAATCAGGACGAAAGCAAGTTTGCAAGCTAAACAAATCAATCTATGGATTGAAACAAGCGGCAAAGAATTGGTATGAAGCACTGGCTAGTCTACTTATTAAAGAAAAATTCAAACGTAGCTGCAACGATTATTGTTTATTTGTGAGAAAAGAAGAAGATGGAACATACTCATACGTATTAGTTTGGGTAGACGATATTATAGTGGCTGGTACGAGTGAAAAGCAGTTAATCATATCAAAGCAATGTTAAGCAAAATTTCAAGATGGACGACCGTGGCAAACTGCACTGGTTCTTAGGAATGCGAATTCTACGATCTCACGACAAGATTACCGTTGACCAAAAGAAATACATCGAATCTGTTCTTCAACAATTCAATATGAGTGATTGTAAAGCAGCAGCAACGCCTGGAGAAGTAAATCTGAAGCTAATCAAAAGCAACGACGATCAGAAGTTAGTCGATGCGAAGTTATACAGAAGTTTAGTTGGATCATTACTATTTATTGGTAAACAAACCCGTCCAGATATCCTTCACATTGTTAATCAGCTATCAAGATTCCTAGATAAACCAGACATTTCACATTGGAAAGCAGCAAAGCACGTATTAAGATATCTTAAAGGAACTATCGATTTACAATTAACATTCTTGAAGAATTCCAATCTCGATATCGTTGGTGATTCAGACGCAGATTGGAGTGGTGATCTCAATGATCGCAAATCAACTACAGGATATTACTTCAAATTTGAAGGGAACGGAGGTGCAATCAGCTGGGAAGTGAAGAAACAGGCAACTGTAGCACTTTCGTCAACCGAAGCCGAATATCAAGCTATGGCGGCAGCTGTACAAGAAGCAATATACCTACGAGCACTAATGAAAGATTTAGGTTATCCAATGAAGAAACCAACCAACATTGGAGAAGATAACCAATCTTGTATAAAGATGTGTCACAATCCCGTAATGCATAAACGATCAAAGCACATCGATACGAAACTACATTTCATTCGAGAAAGAGTACAAAACAAGGAAATAAAGATCAGTTACGTTCCAACCGAAGAAATGACAGCAGACATTCTTACAAAGTCATTATCTCGAGTCAAAGTAGAAAAACATCGAGCAACACTTTTAGGAATTTAGTTAACCACATAGCAGACTCATCATGAGGAAGCTGAGTCTGAGTGGGGGTGTTAACATGATACAATATAACATAAAGTATTTCATTTGTTAAAGTTAATGTTAATTCAGTTCATTAGATACAGATCAGTGGACACGTGACAATCGTACGATCTTACATACTTCCTACACATGTACATATATATATTGTTGTTGTAAAATCAATACGAATCCTTCTCTTTGAATAAAGTTCATAATCTAACAAGTGATATCGATTAAAGCAGTATGTTAGCTAAATGGCTGCATTTGATATTCTTTTTCATCGAAGTGCTTTAAAAAGGTGAAAAGAGTAAAGACATTGCTTTTAGGGCGTTGTCAAATAGTCTTAACAATTATTGGAATTCTGGGCAAAAAATACTTTACTGCTGCATAATACTCATTTACCACTGTATATAATGTCTTTTCACTTCACTATAGTTTCAAATACATTGAGACGCATGTTTTGTTACTACGTAATGTATACAATATTTTCTCGCAAAATTGGAATTTTCTAGGAGTTGAATGTCCTCCACCAATTTAAAATGTTCTTTAGCTGAAATAGAATTTTCTTTCACTAATGTAGAATATTAGTTCTTTAACTGCAGTTGAACACTTTTTCAAATACTCAATATTCTTTTGGAATGTTCTTTTTGTAATGTAGCCGAAATATCCTTTCACTAATAGAGAAATGTACAAAGTTGTTTTTGTGTTTTTGCATAAGAGGCACAAAAGTCAACACAATAGGACCTGTCACGGTCTAATTTGGTCATATTTAATTAGTTGCTGCGATTACCATTCTAGCTTTCCTGCCGTCAGAAAATGCAATCAACTGACCGCCATTATTGTTATCATATGTATAATAATATCTACGCTTTGCGTAAAAATTGCTCCATGAGCAAATAGTTCCCTAATGCATGCTTTTCATAAAAGATTGATCTACTCCTTGGTAAATCTCACATATTTTAACTTATAGTTTATACAAACAAACAATTTGGAAAGAATCAGCGAGTGACGAGTCATTTTTATGTGACAACTTGCGAATGTAAATTTTCAATCATTGGGTTTTCTCACCTTTGGGGTGAGCACATTGTTAATGCCATAGCAATAGAAAGCCAACAGGTGGTTAATGCAATTGACGTAAGCAACATGGTTTTGGTTTGTTGCATACGAATATATGTCATCACCTCTTTTTACACGTCTGCTACGTTTGCATATAGGCTAATCATTGGAAAGGATTTTTTTCATTTGAAGCTTGTAATGTTTATTAGGATACAATCTTGGTTCAACCTCGGTTGTTATTGAATTAAAGCGTACGGATAATTGTCAATGTTTTCCTCCTACAAAATATGGGACGCAATATTTAACCCAAAAAGTATTATGAAAGAATCTGGTTCGAAATTTTCAAGCGTGCTACAAATTATTTTGCTCAAATTATTGAGAATTATGACGTAAAAAATACACAGGAAAAGGGCTACGCTGTCAGTCAGAGAGTTTTTAGGCAGTATATTAACTGGAAAAAGACGAAAGCGAATTGCAAAAATCATTTAATGTCTAAGCGCAAGAAACTTTATGGTTTCCTTAAAAAAACTTATTATTTATAATTGTGTAAAGAAGAATTATTGAACTAGGGCTTTTGTATGATATCAAGAAGCATTTTTTGACTGTTGTCAAATGTCAATAATATATGCCGAAGGGAGGCTGCGCTCATCTAATAATTGTTTATTATTGGAGCGTTTAAATGACATTTTCCATTAACGCTGTCTCGTTTACCCCTCTAGATCCTCAAACAGTCTCGCAAATATGAAAGAAGACAAGAAAGTTGCAATTATTGGCGGAGGGGCAGCTGGATGCGGAACATGTCTCGCTTTGGCGGAAAATGGTTGGAAAGTTAGTTGATTTGAGAAAAGCACCATTTTCTCTGGGACCAGTGGAATGACGCCTGGACGCCTTCATCTGGGATTTCATTTCGGGGATCTAGAAACGTCGCTGATGCTGATGCGTGCGACAATACGCTTTGTAAAGATATTTCCTGGACATCGAATCAGTGAACATTTGCCATCTTTGCATCCACTACGTCGCGGTCGGTTTTTCATTGCCAAGGATTCACTCGTATCTGCAGGCGAAATTCTCGAGGTAAATCTGGACAAAAGGTGCAACCATTTGCATGTAATGTTGAATGTGAAATACATCTTTTTTGTTTTCACAGATTTACAAATGCCTCAAGCAAGTTTATTCTGACATGATTGACGAGGATCCGTCGAACATGGTATTTGGTCCCCCTGAAATGTTTTATCGCATCCTGGACAAGACAGAGTTCGAGTATGATGTTGATGCAAGCAAGGTTCTCATGGGCATTGAAACATCTGAACATTTTCTTGACTGTAAGAAATTTCAGACAAGCTTAGAGTCGCGTTTAAGAAACCACAAAAACGTCAAAATCTATGAGTTCACCGAACTTGTTGACATAAGACAAGCAGCAGACAGTAGAAAGCATCGATGGTCTTTGATTTTCAACAAAGGGGAAAAACGGCGAGTAACATTTTCTTGTGATTACGTTGTCAATTCCACATGGTGTCAAATTGAAAAGCTGAATCGCATGGCAGGATTTCTCAAGGAATCTTTTCCGATCTCCAATCGCTTGAAAGCGGTGTTCGAGTGAAAATACCACGAGCCATGCAGGACAAACACTCAATGTTTTTCTGTATCGGACCATTTTGCATGTTTTCAAACCTTGGCGATGTAATATTCTGAGATTTCTCCCTTTTATTGCTTTGTCATATTAGTTTTATACAGATCTTTACTTAATTACCATATACGTAATATGACGTACGACATACTAATAATTTACATAATAACTATACTACACCTCTCCCAAACTAATTAAATATTTTTTTTTGTATTTTGTATCTACAAGTTCGTATATGAAAATATTAATTGTTTCTTTTATAGCTATCTCTAAATTAACTTTCAACTTGTCCGTATCGAATAGGGGCTTTTCTTGTACGCAAAGGATACCGCCGTTCTTTTTCCTTTATACTTTCCTCAATGGGCTCTCCTACACTTTTCCCATTTTCGATCTTCTTGAAAAATGACGAATTACGAGTTAACAACATTCTATCTTTCTTCGCTGTTACCATTGAACCTTTTCTTTCCACGACTTCACATGGCTTACCATCATAGGGTGTTTGTTATTTATTAGTAGTCGTATCTTTTTTTACTAACACCATATCACCTACTTTAATCTCACTTGTCTTTACGTTCCTGTTATTGTCTGCATGTAATTTCATCTTCAATTTTGCTCTTTCATCCTGTACTCGAATTCTTTCCTCTGTATCTACATGAAATGGTTCTTTAGGTAAACTTACTTTCATTGGTCGACCGAATAAAGCCATAGATGGAGAGATTTTGGTCGAACTATGAGGTGGGGCACGATAATTTCGCAGGAACCTGTGGATTTCTTGCTTCCAATATTTTCCCTCCATTATCGCAGGCTTTATTGTCTTTTTGATAGTACGCATAAATCTTTACACTTCCCCGTTGGCTCGTGGCCAATAAGGAGTAAATTTTCTGTGTTTAACTCCCAAATACTTAGAAAATTCGTAAAATTCCTTGCTATTGAATGGCGGTCCATTGCCTGAACGTATCGTATCTGGTATCCCAAACTCCGAAAGAATCTTATCCAAACAGGGTACAACAGTCTTTGCGAACGTTGATCAGATTATTTCTACAATGGGATATCTGGAAAAATCATCATACAAAACAAACAAATATTCACCTGTGCCTGTAGGAGCTATACCAAAGTCCATACTTAGCTCTTTCCAAGGAGACCTTGACAACTCTGACATTTTCAATGGTTCCTTTTCACTGACTGGAGTTGTAATCTGACAGGCTAAACACGATTTAACTTTTCCATTAACTATCTCATCTATACGTGGAAACCATACCTTTTCAGGTAATAACGCTTTCGTTTTTGACATTCCCATATGACCTTCATGAGCAATGTTCACTTCTTTCTCTCGTAAACTTTCTGGTATGATTATTTGATGTTTTCGTAGAATTATACCCGAAGATATGCAAAGTTCATCTTTAATTTTCTCATTTGAACTAAATTCTGCTTGATTTAATCCTACCATCTTTGAACTCCCAAACCATCTACCTGATTCAATGGCTTGAATTACTGCTCGAAGAGTAATGTCTTCTCTTGTAGCTTCTTCCAGATCTTTCCTGCTGATTGCTCTTGTAACCGAGTTCTGTGTAACGTAATTAACAAATTCTTCTGCTACTTTCTCTTGCCGGTTGTTTAGTTTCTCATCAGATAAGGGATGACGTGAGAGAAAATCTGCAGGATTTTCAGTTCCAGGTTGAAAACAGATTTCAAAATCATATGGTTGCAATCGCAAAGCCCATCGTTCTAATCTCGCAGATGGCTTTGACGATCGATTTGTATATATTTTCACCAGCAGCTTGTGATCAGTGACGATGGTGAACTTTCCTCCAAACAAATATAAATGAAATTGTTCGCAGGCCCATACTATAGCTAAAGCTTCTCTTTCCAAGTGAGAATAATTTTTCTCTGTGGTAGTTAGTGATTTACTAGAGTAAGCAATTATTTTCCTTTTTTCTTCTCCCTTTTTCCTCTGCGCCAAGACTGCTGCAATACCAACTGGACTAGCATCTGTGAAAACCTCCGTATCACTATCCGGATCGAAATACGCACTTTCTGACCCATCTGTTAATGCTTTCCGTAGAGCTTTCATTGTGTCTTCTTCTCTTGTCCACACGAACGAGGCATCTTTCTTGATAAGTCGACGTAACGGCTCCGTAATTGTGGCGTAATGTGGAATAAATCGACAGCAAAAATTGGTCATGCCTAATAAACTTCGTACTTCTCCGACATCTTTAAGATTTGTGCATCCCTAATTGCTCTCACTTTATTGGGATCCGGCACAATACCATTCTCTGAGAACACATACCCTTGGAATATTAAACTTCTTTTCTTAAACAGACATTTCTCCTTCTTAAGAGTTAGTCCTCGATCTTTAATTCGTTGTAATACCGCGTTCAAATTTGAATCGTGATCTTTCTCGTCTACGCCAAACACCATAATGTCATCACTAATATTAATCACTCCTCTCAGTCCATTCAACGTTTCTCTGATGGCATTTTGGAATATCTCTGCAGCACAGTTTATTCCAAAATTCAAACGTCGAAACCTCCGTAGACCAATATGTGTTGAGAAGGTTGTCAAATATCGTGATTCTGCATTGAGTTCTAACTGGTTATAGCCTAGATTTAAGTCCAATTTGCTAAACCATACAGCACCATTTAGATCACTTATAATTTCACCAATCGTCGGAGTCAAGTGTCGTTCTCTCTTTATTGCTTTGTTTACTTGTTTATATCTCTACAAACTCGGACCTCCCCTTTTTGTTTTGGTACGACTACGACTTGTGAAACCCAATGTGTTGGTACATCCGTTTTCTCTATGACTCCACGTTCTTCGTCTCGATTTACCTGTTTCTCCAAGTCTTTTCTCACATGAAACGGCACCCGACGATGAGGTTGTGCGACAGGTAGTACGTCCTTATCTACGTGTAGATGAACTTGAAACCCTTTCAATTTTCCCAGTCCTTGAAAGACTTCTTGATATTTGTGAATTAGCTCTTCCACTTTGGTATCTTCTCGCACTTTTTCTTGTGCCTTTTCTTTAACGGGTTCCTGTTTAGACTTTGTAGTGCCTTCTATGGATGCAACTATTTGTACCAGGCCCAATTTTTGAGATCTTTTCCAGCTTATCAAGCAACCCGTATTCCCATTAACAACAAAAAATGTCTCCAACCCATATAGTTTATCGGTTTCGACCACACACTGACATTTTCCTTCAATTGATAGTTGCTTTTTCGACCCATAAGGAAAGATTTTCTCATTTGCTTCCTGCAATTTGGCTTTTTCTTCAATTTGTTAAAATTCACTTTATCCAAGAGATTTACGCTGGAACCGGTATCTGCCATGACTGACACAGGAGTACCATTTATCTTAACTTTAAATTTCGGCAGCTTTTGTTGCGCCGTCAACGTTGAAAATACATATTCATCTTCCATATTTGATTCGGACGTTATTTCTTGCACCGTATTCACTTGACGAGGTCTTACTTGATTACGTTTTATCTGTCCGTTTCGCTTTGTTGATTCAGCGCGAGAACTTTGATAATTGTCTTGCATCCGCTCTTTGCCTCTTCGATTCTCATAGCAACAAACTTGAAAATGGTTCCACTTTAAACACTGTCGACATTTCTTTCCATATGCCGGGCAATTTTTTTTCCCTGGACGATGTTCACAAGCACAAAATTTTATTTGATCTTCGATGAATATTCGGAAGCATTTGAGGTTTTATCCGTGGGCGTCTTGAACTGCTTTCTTTTATGCCAAATTCGATTCGTGCTTTCGATGCCTTCTGCTTGTGTTTTTGACATCTCCATTGTTTTTCCCATTTGTATTATTTTGTCCATCGTCATTTCGGGGTCTGCTAACGCTTTTCTCCGCAATTTTGAAGACGAACCATTTTGTATGATCTGAGTTTTTATCTCTCTGCTTTCTTCATGAAATTCGCAGGATTTGGCCAATTGTTTCAATCTTGTATAGTACGCGGATATGTTTTCTCCTGGGAGTTGTTTCGCTTGACGAAACTTATAAACTTCGAATTGTATATTATTCTGTGGAGTGAAGTAATTTCGTAACGCTTTCTCCGCTTTTCTAAATACATCTTCTTCTCTATCTGGCTCGTCAATTTCTAAAGTTTCGAATATCTCATTAACTTCTTCACCGACATAGTGCAGGAGCATCGCCTTCTTTCTTGCGGCGTTAGTGATGTTCATTACAACAAATCGTCCAATCTTGATACGTATTTTCCAAGCTTTTCTAAGGTGTGGTTCTTCTAGGTTGAACGTCGGGAAGCTAGGCAAAGCTGTCATGTTCGAAATGTAGTATCTTTCTCAGGATCAAATCATATTTCTTCGTCCCTTCCTAATCTTTGTCGCCAGATGTAATATTGTGAGATTTCTCCCTTTGTCATATTACTTTTATACAGATCTTTACTTAATTATAATATACGTAATATGACGTACGAAATACTAATAATTTACATAATAACTATACTACAGGCGATGGCACAGCACTCTTGACGTACGGTCCAGTATCGAATATCGCAACCTTTGACGAAACAATGAACAGTGACAAAATGATGTAATTGACGACAAGAGCAGCGACTACAGAAGAATGCCAGAACATTAGTCGTGGGATTCTTCAAGGTGCCACGTCTTTCATCCCATTTGCCTCTGAAGATGACTACCGCTAAGGTTGTCGAAACGTCAGTCTACAACAACAAAAACAGTCCTTCTCAGGACTTTATTAACCTGGACGATCATCAATTACAAACATACAACGATACTCCCGGGTTCAAACCATTTACTTTAATACAAAGACACTTAAGACAATATACATCAATTACGATCAATTTCAGTGTTCATCTAAAACTTGAATGAAATCATTTTGTAACTTAGATATATGCAGCTCTGGTCTTATTTTGCTTACATGAAGCGGCACGATGATCCTCATTATTTTACGCAAAAATTTGGAGGATTTTTTATTCTCAAAGAAAAATTCTGTGTATGTATTTTGTTAAAAACGTCCACAAAACTTAATGTGATGAGCTCCATATAATGAAAACAATAACAAAAGCAATGTTCCTTGATAGTTGCAGGAAGTTCCGAAAAATTTTGATGAACAACTCAGCTCACGTTTATCAGTTGATCTACGGACTACAGAGTTTCT